TTCCACAGGAACTTAAGGAAGCATTTCTTCACTGTGMGGGTGACAAAGCAYTGGAACAGGCTGCCCAGAGAGGTTGTGGAGTCTCCTTCTCTGGAGATCTTTAAAACCCGCTTGGAYGCAGCCCTGTGCCACGTGCTCTAGGTGACCCTGCGTGAGCAGGGGGGTTGGACTCGATGACCTCTGAGGTCCCTTCCAACCTTCGGCATTCTATGATTCTATGATTCTATGATTCTAAAAGAGTGTACACTCAAACATGCTTATCTTACTCTGGCTTAGTATAAAGTCTGCAGAACAACACAGAGTGCAAGAATATGAGCAAGGATCAGACTATTGCCAAGCTGTTCAAGCCCCCTTACTCCATCATAATGAAAATAAATAAATAAATAAATAAATAAATACATTTTGAGAAAAATCTCTGATCCCTAGAAGAATTCAAAGGAGCAAGCAAGTACCAAAGAAGATGTCTCATTTAGTAGAATTTAGGAAAGCACTTCCTTCCACTCAGATATGGGATATTGAATGTAAAAAAATATTCTGCTGTAAGCACAGATGTATACATAATATAGCCTCCATGCAGTTACCTTCCTTCTCTCAGTATTTACCCTCCAAATAACATTTACAACACACTTCAATGATTTATTCAAGGGTTTCTTTATTTACAAGTGAGCAGCTGACACAGCTGGAATCATTCCCAGGGAAGTACTGCAGCTGCCTCAGGAGGAACACATTCTACCTTTTTGTGTTAAAAAAATCCGAACAACAAAATCACATTCTGAAGTACAGAGGTTTAAACTTTGCAAGAATAAAAATTAYGCTGAGTGCAAAGTACTGACACAGGAAAACTCACTGCAATACATATCTACCCGTCCCATGCTTCCCTATCTCTTTGTCATGTTGGTCTGGACTAAATAAGTTAGGTATTACTGAATAAATAACCATTTAAAAGCACTCAACTTTAACTGYAATACGGAAGAAGAGTATTCCAAGTTGCTAGCAATACAAGGATATAATATTAAAGTATTACATAGCTCCATTTATAATTTAAAGTATCATGTTTAATTGACTTCTCATTCCTGCTGAACATAGTTGTCAAAGTTTGGCCTATCTGGCCAAATTTGTTTTGTTCTGTGCAGACCACCAATTTTCCTACGCTGAAATTACAATTCTGAAATATTAGCAATTCCTATAAATTCCGGGGCAGAGAATTTAAAGACATCAACATTCCTCAGAAGGAGGAATTACTCTTAGTATTGGGATTTCACAAAGCAATGCCCTCCCTGAAAGCCTCCCTAACACATTCATAACCATTTTTGTTTATTTGTTTTTATTAACACTGAAATCATATTCAGGATTTGCAGTTTGAGACAATTTGTTGACATGCCACCATCTTCCATTAAGCCTTGATGCAAAATATTTTTACTCTTTGATGCGTGTACCCCTAGACAGCAATGAGGATTACACACAGGAACTTGAGTGTGAGGAGAGGGGTGTAAGAAGTATGTGAGTGCAAGGAAAAAGTGACAGAAAAAAATGCACGGAAATCCTAATAGACTCGAATACAATGTTGCTTATGGGCCAACTCTCCTTATTTGTGATAAAGTAAGTCTGGAGAGCACAGAACCCTTAGGTGACTGCATCCAGTCACTGATATCAGTACCAATCACATCATACACTGCTATTCCGGCAGCTGTCTGTTCTGATAGCCAGGAATCTCTTCATTCTTCGATCCCACCTGTATCTATGGTCTGTTTGTAACAACTTGTCCTGTATTTAAAAAATACAGTGAAAAATGCTGCAATAGTATACTTGGAAAATTAACATTATTCAAGGATCTCATAAAGTGAGAACTTATCCATAGAAACCTAGCAACTTTTTATTTTTTGTGCTGTTATTCTGTCTGAGATCACTTCCCCCAACTTCCTCCAAACCAATTTAACAGGCAAATGAAAGATATACCTAAATGAAACAAAGTTTTAATTTAGCTTTTACTTGACTTTTTATTAAGATTTTTTATCTTATCATTCTCATATAATCTTGATTTGCTCGCCCTTGAAAATATTTATATATCTATTTAGAGCCTTTAAATGGAATTCTTTGTTTATTACTATTCTAAGCATGTCAAGAGTATGAGCCTCAGAAGAAGATACCTTGTTCCATGYAAGAAAGTGAAGTACACAAGCAAGAAAGGAAGGGAGGAAAAAGAGACAGCATGTGACCCAAGAAATTATTCTTCAGGAAAGTCCTTATGGCTCCAGGAGCGACACTGGCAAACAWCCCCCGCCTACCAAAGTTCAGCTTTTCCACACTCCGCCTTACAAGCAAACAGGAGGGAATTYGCTCATTTTCATATCAAGTTACACCCGCACTCCTCCCCTTTTGCTGGGTAATACTAGTCCAGATAAAACGAATTTGTCCTTTCAGCTGCGCCGAGAGGGATTTACTACAATCAATAGCTGCATATTGCAGCAGCAAAAGGCTAAACAGCTTATCRTGGTATCTGAGTTTGCGTTAAAATCAGTAATTCACATTCACGCTGTTTTTGTTATTTAAGATTAAGAAAACAAATCATATGCCACAGCACTCTGGCGATTACAGGAAAAACTGGTAAAAAAATGAGCAAAAAACACCACACCACCTGCATTCACAAGTAACAATCTTTGTTTTGTTTTCCAAAATTCCCATTCTTACTCAATGTGGACAAGAAAGGAGAGCAGAAAGCAGAATAGTCCGTGATGCAGTGGCTGGGGAACTGCTTTTAAACCTTCAGCTTGCCTTACTGCTAGCTTATCCGACACCTCTGGCTAAAAAAAAAGGCTCAAGGTCACAGGGGAAAGAAAAAAAAAAAAAGAAAAAAGAAAAGAAGAAGGGGGAAAAAAAAAAATCCTTCCTGGAGTTTTAGGCTCTCTCCGGCCCGCCACGCCCGTCCCAACGACCCGTTCCCGCTCTGGGCGCAGCGCCACGCCAGGGCGCGAGCGCCGCGCGGGAAGGGGGGCGGGCGGCCCCCGCGGTGCCCGGGCGGCGGGTTTCAGCAGGAGCAGACGCGGGAGGCCGGCTCCACGTTTTAGGAACTTAACCCTTTAACTCTCCTTCTGAAGCTCAGCGGCTGATGCCGGAATAGATGAAGAGCGGCTCATACCGCACCCCCAGCTCCGCGTTACTCCACTCGGCCCCCTCCCTCCCCTGGCGGCCGTTGCTCCCCTCACGCACCGCCCATTGCCCACCCCCCCAACCACACGGTGGCCGTTGACGCCCCCGCTGCCCCCCAACGCCGCGGCCGTTACCGCCCCCGCGCCGCTCACCTGCGTGTAGAGCTCGGCCAGCGCCATGGGGGCGGCGGGCACCGACGCGGTGGCGCTGGCGCCGCGGGCAGGTGGCCGGGCCGGGGCGGGCCGTCCTGTTGCCCGTCCCTGAGGCTGCAGCCGCCGTCCCGGATGCGGGGCCCGGCTGCCGCCCGCGGGAGCCCCGCCTGTTGCCGGGAGGCCTGGGGCCGCCTCAGGAGCTGTAAGAGCAGCCTTAGGGGCYGGAGGTGGAGGGAGATGGGATACAGGTGCCTCGGCTGGGTACCCGCCGCCGGGAGCCGAGCTGCTGGGAGGCTGGGCCGCCAACACCTGTACTAAAGCCTTCGGAAACACGAGGGGTTGGAGCCATCCTGTCCTCACCCGTGGTGTGCGGTTAAATGCCTTAAAAGTGCTCCCAGGTAAGGTTGGCATCTTGGATAAAACTTTGCTAGTAAAAAATTGTGTCTTACCTGGATGCCAAATCGATTATGAGGGCCGTCTTTCCTGAGCAAATAAAAACCAAAACACTCACCTGGCTGTAGGCCTCCATGAAGGAGTTTCTTCAACAAAACAGAACAAAACCCTCAGAAGGCCGTGCTAAGCTTAGGGCATGGTTTTATACTAGGAGCTGGTCTGAATTTCATATGGCTTCATATGGCCCCTGCCTTCCAGCCTGATCTGTAGAGCTCTGTGATACAGCAACTATGGGGAAGCAGCAATAGATATTTCAGTACCTAGCACAGAAAGTCTATGGTGGTTCAAATCTATTATTTTAATAGCATTCACTTAATGTTTGGTATTAAGAAATCACAACAGAACCATGTGTCAAACAAAAAACTTTAAATATGCCCAGAAATTTAAGTCATGCTCTCAGTATCTGGGTGCGTATTTATACAACACTCAGGTTTTAAACAACTCCCTTTACAGTCAACAATAAACCCATGAGATCATCTGGGAATCTGCTAGCGCACGGTATATGAACTCCGCTTCGTGTTAAAATATTACAAAGTTCCTGGATTTTCATACATTGCTGTGAGCGCTAGATCCACCACTTGCAAACAGACTGTAGAGAGGGACCAACATATGAACACCCTTCAGTTCATACCCAGACCAATTCTTAATGAACATGCTCARGTGGCCAAACCCAGAATGAAGAATTTCTGGCCAATGCCAGAAAGGAAGGAAAGGAAAAAGGCTGGAAGGGTTTCATAAAAAGTCATGASGAATAACAGCTTTGATGGAGAGTCCAGGGAAGGGCAACCAAGCTAAACCGGAATACCCCAATTTAGCCACAGGTTATAACAGAACATAAAGCAGTATCCCAGAAGAAACTACTGAGGACAAAGCTTATCAATTTGTCTAAATCCATGGTATTTTGGAAGAGGTCATTTTTACTACCTATCATATGCAGGAATTCAGAGCATTCATGTGGTRAGCCTATGTGGACCAGCACCAAAGGGAACATGAGGAGAGGGAGAAATGGCAGCTTAAGTGTATCCATAATGGCCAACAGATGGAAAGCTGCCCTAAGAGGAAGTTTGGGACAAAAGACAACACAGTTTTGTAATCCATTTAGTCCAAAAAAAGTCAGTGAAAATTTGGGAGAAGCAGGAGGGTTGCAGGAGGCATCCAGTGGGCCAGGATCCATCAGAAGTGTGACAGCTGTATACACACCCAAAACCCCCAGCCAAACAAATAATCCCCAAACAAAGCTAATTTTACAGTTGTATTTTTATTTTGACATTTTCCAGTGATAGCTATTAGGCTACAGTTTTTATGATGCATACATTTACTAAGTACAACATCAGACACTACAACAGATCAGCGCTCAGGTCATTCTGATAATGTTTTGGTTTTCATCTATGTACTTCAGTGGCATCTAGTGAAAACCTACGATTAAAGGCTTTTTACTAGATGAATTATCAGTATTTTTAAAAAAAAGAACAAAAAAAAAACCCTTTACTGATAGTTTTTGTTTGGTATTTGAAATATGTTCAGTTTAAATCATGTATTATTTTCACATTGCAAATGCTGGTGTTTCCAAGTTGGGAACAGGTGTTACTGGACATAAATCCACTATTCAACACTGGTGTTGATGCTATTTGTCTCTTGTGATAGGTAGGCTAGGTTGATCACTTTTAATGGACTTAAGCACTTTCATATTTCATCCCAGATCAAAGTCTGAGAAGCAATCTGTTAAAATTCGTGWAGAATATGGTGCTCTAAACATCAGAATAAAATAATCACTGGAATAAATATACACCAAACTGAATGAGGTAATTTTTTTGTGCAAAATCTCTAGAATAACTGTATAATTCTAAGGGGACATTGGCAAGTATTTTCCAGCATCTGAAAGAATCTATTATAGCAACAGATAATAAATTAAAATATAAAAGATATGTCCACATTAAAAGAGCATAATCATGATTCAAAGGAAAAAATGTTAAAATAATTTTGCATTAGATTCTATGGTTAAAGAGCTATTAGTCCTAAAGTGAAAGATACTTTGTATTATACACTGACACTAAAATTTTATTTCTGAAAAGTGCATGTAAAATACTGCCATGTAAAATATTAGATGAATTACCAATTACACATTTATTTCAACTTAAAAATATTTTCCTTTAAAACATGTCAAGCAGCATATACTTTTAATGTGATATAAAAGTAATACCAGTCAAACCACTGAGTTTAAGGATAATACCTATAAATTACTAACTACTATTTTTTAAGGAAACAAGATACAATAAGGCTTTTTACAGGTAAACAAACTTTAAAAATAAACAAAAATACATTTAGGCATATGCTTTAATACTCTAATGCTTAAGCATTGGATACTTTTCCTGATCTACAGTACAAACATACTGTAATGCCATTTTTTTTAATAGGAGAAAATTTTTGTAGGTCAGGATATTCTCACATATTTTCTCCTCCAACCTTGCTACTGGATGTAAAGACTTTCCTCGTTACATTCCCACAAGTGCAGTACCCTAAAAAGTCAAAAACCACTATGCCCCACCTTTTACCTTATTTGGAGCCACTTACAGTAGCTGTAGTTTCAGAAATAAAGTAATATCTGATAAAAAAAAAAAAAAAGAAATTTTGATATGCTATGCACAGGTAAATAATCTCAATCATTTAGTAAGACTCATTCAGAGTATTTATGCAGTGCAATAGTAGGTTCTTGAAAGTATCCATGTGGTCCATCAAACAATATGGGGCATATACATTGAAAATAAAATGACATAAGCATTTCAAAATTTTACTTACAAAGTTTAAACCGTCTTTGTTACAGATTTTATCAGCAACCATACAAACAGCCTGTCTACCTCTCAAGTAACTGAAATGTTTCGGTCTGCTTAACAGCAAAAATTTTGCAGGCAAAATGGTAAGTACCTCTAGATTATTTCTTTATATTTTAAAAGAAATTAATGTTCAATTGCTAGTTTTTAGAATACATTGAAAATATTGCGCTCTGCAACTAAGTAATGTATGTGACTTTTACATGTATATTTGAGCCATACACTACAAACTATATGTTTCAAAGTTCAGAATCGGAACCTTAAACAAGGCCTCTGACTTTATTGTTGCACATTTTGAAATGTGAATTCTACATAACAGTTCTAAGGCATGCAAGAGGGAAAAATCTTTATGGTAAGATGTGCAATCACCAAAATAACAGAGTTTTTGATTATGCACTCTGGGTTTTAAAATATTTTATCAGCATGAACAATAGTCAAATGATAGCATCATAGCCAAAACTTACTTGAGAATATTTTTCTTAGCCAGCATTTCAAAGAACATAAGATTTGGGTTACTGCAGAAATTTTGTACCTTCCTTTTTTTTTCCTCTAAATACCAGCATGAAGGAATACATTTTATAAAGTGGCAACAAAACAAAACAGATGATATTAAAAATACAGACTGCTATCTCAGGGGTCCACAAACCAAGAAAAACCYTGGAAAAAAATGCAAAATTTAAACAAATACTAGCATCATGATTGACTTTTGATCATTTGCTTCAGCATACTGTATTTTTAGGTAACCACTTAAAAGAAAAAAACAAAAACAACAATGACAAAACCCTAAACATGTAACTTCCAGTGTGCTACTTGTGCTTAGTTACCATTTTTCCTTTAGAGGTGATATTTGATAACATTTGTAAAGATCCAGTTAAAGTAAGAGACRGAGTTGAACTGTAAACAAGGTTGACAACAAAAAGTGACATCTCGTTTTTAGTGCCTAATATGATACTGTCATACATTAAAAAGAACACAATATGCAGCAGCGATTTAATATGCTTGGTAAACCACAGTACTAACAAACAATCACCTAGGTTATACCATGTAGTAAGCTATAAGACTTATCACTATAATTTATGTCAAACTGACATAAATAAGGAAGTGGTTTAATAAATTATTTTATATATTGCCAGTTTTTGTTTCTCTGTCTCATTTTTTTTACAAATTAAATGTAACAGGCTCCCAAATGACTGTGTATTCTACTACAAAATGCCTTACTTTTAAGTCTTCCAGTTCAGGACAATCATGTCCTTTATTGGTCCCTGCCTACAAGACAATTACACATGGAGTTTAATTTACACTATTTAAATATGTTACTAAAGATCTAAAAATGTCTCTAGACAGATAAGGACACAACTTTTGCCCAATCCCTATTTCCACACTCCAAAAATGTTTGAGTCTTCATAAATGTAGTGRCTTTACACAAACGCTAATATTTCTATTAGCCTTCTATTTGTGGTGCTGTTTTGTAGTTTCCCAGCTACTTTTACTACAGATGCAGGCAAATACATACTGTTTGTCAGAAAAAATTATTTTCAATGGCTCACTATGTTTTAATGGATAAAGATGCTGAGCAACTGAGGTGCTATCCATCACTCATAGCAAATCCCTGGGATCAGACACGTGAGATGAAGCCCAGGCCCAAGCTGGCTGGAATCTGAATGGTTTCTAATGCTAGAGAGGATGGATTAAATGGAAAAGTAACAGGAAAGATGTGCTTAGCATCCATGAGCAATTGAGGAGAGTCCTTCCTGTCTCTCAAACGCATCTGGAAAGATAAGAAAATGATTTCATTAGCATTTAACTCATAGATAAAAATAATCATCTTGCAATGGGGTAGCATTTAATCTATGTGCATAGATATATATGTAAACACACACATACACACAWATTCTATGGCAGCCTGACCTGAAACATTTCTACCAATTGCCATTAAACCGTGGTTACTTCRAGCAGTTTCAATTCTGCATTTCTTCCCATACTAATGCAACCTGAAGATATTTATATTCTCTGTAAAACATAGAATTTGCTCACTCTCTGGTTACTGGATTTTTTTTAGTAAATCAAATTATCTTTKATTTCATTTTTACCTTCCCAATCTTCCTTATTCTGCTAGAAATGAAATTAAAGTTCTGACAGACCAGAAAGATCACCTTTGTTTCATTTCTTTTGTTCTATTGGCCGCTTCTTTGCTGAATTTTCAAAATGTTTCATTTTTATCAAGGTAGTTAGATTACAAGCTAAGTGAGGATCTTCTGAAATGTACACAGGCCTCTGACACAGGTCCAACAGAAGTAATTTTGGCTATACAAATGTTAACACTTGAAAAATGGGCACACAAGACTGTTCACAAAGTTGTATAAGCACAAAAAAAACCACCCCTAATTTTTCTGAAAAATCTCACACAGATAGATTATCTGTAACATTTTTTAATGCAAGTCTGGAGGCAATAAACTGAATACTTTAATTTTTAAGTCTGATATTATCTTTGCAACACAAGGAGAAGCAAGTATGTCTAAAAAGCCTAGTTGACTTGAGATTACTGAGTATGTTTGAGGACATGACCTGTTTGGATCATAAGCAAGTTTCATAGAACTAGCAAAAGTTTTCTTTTTTTGAAAGAAAATATAGCCATACCTGTATTGTACGTATAAATGATACCAAGACTCTTTCTTCAAACTCATTAACAGGAGTATACAAATTCAGAACTTTTACAATCTGTGAAGAAAAGAACCAAAACATTCTTAATTTCATTTTATTGATGAATCAACAGGTACATCCATGTTTCATTATCATCTTTTTCATATTTGCAAATATCTTTTTATTAGCTACTTTAAAATGGAAATTCCTTACTAACATTCATTCTTTTCTGCTATATTGATTTGTATCTATTTAAAGTTATGATATAAATTTGCCTTCTTCAGACTGTGTGTTCTTTAAAGGCAGGAACTTTTATTTTTACATCTGTGAAAAATGCCAAACTGTGAAGAAACAGATGACAGATAATTCATTATGTTCCCACACCCACTAGAAACATGCTCAATTTCTCTGATTTTGATTCTGTATTTATGACCTTCCCCTGCTTGCAATTCAAGAGAGTCTTGTGACTTCACTGCATTTTAAGAGAGTATTATTCTYAGAGTAGAGCTAAAACCAGTAGAGAAAACAACTGCAACACAAGGCTTTAAATAATAATATGGGCAAAACATTTATAGCTTATATAAACATTTTTCTTTTAATAAACCGCTCTTTTTAACAAAGCTAAAAAAAGAGGTATGTAGAATAATAACTTCAAWGAAAAACTCACTGATTTGCCAGTAACATGAATTTCTAAATCAAAATCATTGTTATAATCAGTGCAACTTCTGACACCACATCAGCTGTCTTGTTTCCTGAGATATAGTTGGTTTGGTCTTTTTGAGGCTAATGGGTAGAGTAACATAATACTTTTGTATACAAACCTTGAAACAAAAGTTCTGTGTGAATTGCCTATGACCCTAATTGGATACTAACTCAGACGCCAAAAAGATAATCCCAGGCAAAGCTGCCCACAGTGCAGAGATGTCAGCAAAGATTTCTTTGTGAGCAGCTTTCCACTCTCAAAAAGTGACAGTTAAAAAAAAAAAAAAAAAAAAAATTTTTGATTACCTGGGCAGTAGTCAAAGCATTGCACATTGAACAAATGGCTTCTGCATCTTCATCTGTTTTCTTTTTCACTTGCAACAGCTGTGCAGCCTGAATGAGAGGTTCCAGTGTTTCTTTAGCCCCACTATTCATCAAATTCTTATCACGTAGCCATTCTTCAAGTTGACTCACATTGTATCTGTATAAAGAGACAAGAGTATCAAGACCTTAGTGTTTGACTATGACTAAATCAAAACAGACTTCAATTTTTCTTTCACAGTGTTTTTTTCTTTGTCTATATATAGTTTTCCTTCACAGTTGTGATTTCTTGCAATTTTAAAATAATTTCCCTTTCATTTAAGGAGGAAAATTTGAGTTTTAAAACAGCTTAAAATGGTGGCTGAAGTCTTCCACTAGACTTGTTCCCCTGATCCTCTTACTAGCAGGAGTGTTTTCACGAGTATGTGATGACAGACAAACAAGACTTTGTCCATATAACTGCACAGTGAGGCTCTTCAAGATCACCTGAGGCACTGGAATGCCTTGGCTAAATTCCTTGGCATATGCTAGGAGAATTCACTGGATAACTGATGCCAGAGGCAGGAATACAATAAGATGGCTTTATAGCAGGAAGCAGCAAATTACAGTATGCCTGAACACAGCAGGCATCCCCTGAGCTGCCAACCTATGAAGAACACAGCAGGCATGTTTGCTATTCCTCCCTAAAAGCTGAAGAAGAAACTGTCAACATTTCAGCCACAGTTCTGGTTCCTACTTGTAAACAAAGTATTTTTGTTTTGCTCCTTTCAAGTTTCCTTGGAAGACAGAGCAGAACCTCTCTGAAGAGTTCAACTGAATCCCTCAGAATGAGTTTAAAAACATCTGCAACTGCTTGTGTGTGAAATAATGTTTGCAGTGTATTTGTCATTCCACCAAAATGACTGTCTGCAATATCAAGAGTTCCCTCTGATTTCCAGAAGCACATTGATGAAAAGAGCTGTCTTACCTTATCTGCATTCCTTTGCTCCATGAGCACATGTCCTTACGCAGGAGGAGATTATTAAGTGTCACAGCCCCAATGATATAGAACATCTGCTTGATAACCTGCTTGATCAGCTCTGGATCCATTCCATGCTGGCACATCACCGAATGGAAAGAATTCAGCTGTCGAATTATAGAGTCCAAAGTGTAGGTCCCTTCATCAGCAATGCTCGACGTTCTCTTCCGCAGCCCGGTTGGCTTCACCCCTGAGACACCCTGGATAGTTTCATGCTCCAGCATTCCTGAAACTGTATTAGGTTGTGAACATTATTACAATAATCAAAAGTTAGCTAGATCAAGATGAGCTGTGCAAACCAGCAAGAGTTAATATTTACTCACATTTAGTATCTACAGGAAAAGATCAGGCCAGGCTTTTTTCTAGTCACACTATGATTCAGAGCAATCCTCTCAGTGCCCCCTAATGTTCTGCAAAATCTCTGCTTGCTTGTTTTTCTCAAAGATGCCAGCATGTGTATGTGAAAGAAAGGTCTGACCGCAACTCAGCAGAAGGGTGAGGTTAGCAGCAGAGAGCAAACCAAGAGTGTGCCATTCTTCTACGTGGTGCGATTGGAAAATGTTAACAGAAGTTTGTGTGCAAGTACTGTACAATGAGAAAAAATTGTACTTTTTATGAAGAATTCTCTCTGAGTGTGAGCTTTGTCACTGCTATTTCACTGCTGATTGCTGTGTAAAGTGACAGTCAGCTACATTTTCTCCATGTACATTATGAATTCATACGCAATCAAGTCCATTCTTTCCAAGGACAGGACAACAAATGTCAGACTGTCCTAACAGTTCAGGTGCTAACAAGATAAATCCCTTTATTCTGTTACTGTCAAAAGACCTAGCCACAGTTCTTTTTCTTCTAATCCAGCCTGTTCATAGAATCATAGAATGCCGAAGGTTGGAAGGGACCTCAGAGGTCATCGAGTCCAACCCCCCTGCTCACGCAGGGTCACCTAGAGCACGTGGCACAGGGCTGCATCCAAGCGGGTTTTAAAGATCTCCAGAGAAGGAGACTCCACAACCTCTCTGGGCAGCCTGTTCCAGTGCTTTGTCACCCKCACAGTGAAGAAATGCTTCCTTAAGTTCCTGTGGAACTTCCGATGCTTCAGTTTGAAGCCATTTCCTCTAGTCCTATCCCTGCCCACCCTGAAAAGAGGCTGCCCCCCTCCTCCTCACTGCCTCCCTTGAGGTATTTATACACGCTGATCAGGTCCCCCCTCAGCCTCCTCTTCTCCAGGCTGAACAGACCCAGCTCTCTCAGCCTTTGYTCATAKGGYAGATGTTCCAGGCCCCTGATCATCCTGGTAGCCCTGCGCTGGACTCTCTCCAGCAGCTCCACATCCCTCTTGTACTGGGGAGCCCAGAACTGGACGCAGTACTCCAGATGTGGCCTCACCAGGGCTGAGTAGAGGGGGATGATCACTTCCCTCGACCTGCTGGAGAYGCTTTTCTTAATGCACCCCAGGATCCCGTTGGCCTTCTTGGCCACCAGGGCACACTGCTGCCTCATGGKCAACTTGTCGTCCACCATGACACCCAGTCTCTGCGGGACTGCTCTCCAGCAGGTTCAGTGCCATCCTTGTCATTTATAAACAGAGTATCAGCAAAACTATTACCAAAACTATGCCATGGAGGAAGAAACACATAACCAAGCATGTTACCACCATCACAAATGTCCTTTTGTTACTATGCTGTGAAGTTTAAGGAATGAATCTTTGCCTTACCTATCATTGGTTGCAAAACATTTTCCAACACTCTGACAAGTTGTTGGTAGATCTGAATAGCCAAGTCACTCAGTACTTGTCTGTATTCAGCTAAGTCAAAATTAGTGAGGCAGTGTTCATTCTGACGAGGTGTATTGTGCTTCATGAATCCCTACATTCATAAATAATAGAAACAAATGCTTCAATGGAACACAAAACCATTACACAACACCAGTATTTATATTTTTTCCTCACACTGACAAATGATACTTTCAAAATAATATTCAAAGTACTTCAAAACTGTAATTTGGAAGGTGCTCTGATTGCTACTAATGCTGGAGAATGCATTTCAGTTACTAAATAGGCAATGGAAGTTTCAAGTCAAAGAAACAGACAAATGACACAGGAATAATATTGCTAACTTTCCGGCACCTTCTCTCCCATTGCAGCATGAACAATCTTATCTGGCTACTATCTGCCAAAATCCTACTTAAGTCTGAAGAAAGAATTAGGCATATGATAGCTTTCAAACTTAAATCTGCAAATTTTCAAACTTAAATCTGCAAAAATTAAGCTAAAGTGCTTAATATTGCTGTCTACATAGGAAGCTCGGTGTATCTGAGCACTAAGTAACTCAGTGCTATGAACCTGATTTTTCTGCTTAATCTGCATTAGCACTATCAGGAGCACAGTGCCATTTAGCCTATGGCCTCCTAGCCTGTGACCAGGGGACACTGCTTTAAATCCTACTTTCSTGTGCTTTCTACTGAAGTCATYGCCATCATTCCAAACAGTGTGGCTRTTTTCAAGCAACTGCAACTAGATTTTGAGATATTACAGGAATTTATTGCAGCGTAGTGTTTGCAATGATTTTATGAAGTGGAAGAAATAAAAAAAGGGAGCAGTTCCTACCTCTTCTCCACTGTATTGCTTCAAACAGTGCAAAAATCGGCAGGTGTTAGACAGCCAGAATGACACAGTTTCAAAGTCATCACCTCTTTTCTGGAGATTAAAAAAAGAAGAAAAAAAATCAATAGAGACTGGTAAAGAGAATGAAATAATAAAACACTGGGTAAATAATTAAGTACTTCAAACCCACTTTCTTCTAGTAGCTCCTCAGCTTCTCGTGCTTTGCCAAACTTGCTATATTTCAGGAACAGACTTAAATACAAGGTTTTTAACTCAATCCCATTAACGCTCCCCATTTTCCTGATTCTTTAAGAACATTCAAAACYGGATTTCCTCCACTGCTATGGCAGTTTTGTGTTGTAGAGATCCATGCTAGCAGCCCTGTGCAGAAACCACAGGTCAATGTAGTAGGCATGACAACTGCTGCAAGAAGAGCCCAGCACAAAAGTCAGTAACAAGGCACAGCTAGAAGGGGCAATGGAAAGGAATTCCCCTTGGTTTGGTGTCATTTAGGTCATAATCATTGTGACAGCCTGACAAGGAAAACAAAACAAGCAAATTTCAAGTAATAATTTCCTAAACAAAATGGCCAAACTAACCTTTAACACTTTCTTGATGCCGTTGATAGTAGATGTCAACAGTGACCTCACTTTTTGGTCATCATTGAGGTAATCTGCGTGGCGTACACACATGAACAAAATATATGCTGGTAATCCTGGAATCAGGTTGACAGCYACACCACGGGGTTTCAGCTCTTGGGATGAACAAACACACATTATTTTGTTAATTGCAAAGAGTTACCTGGGGTAATTGCAACCTCCCAGTGAAACCTAATAACAAACTAAGAACAGACTAAGAAGCAAACAGGAGGCATTTTCTTAGCAAACTGTCAGAACAGAAGAAAACATAATTGCTAGCTAAAAAATATGTGGACACATCTATAGGTGTGTCTGTATTGATCAAGAAGTGAGATTATGTTCTCATAACAGACATGTAATTCAGTTTAATATATAAACTGAACACTGTCAAAATTAAAGGACACATCTCACAATGCAAATTCTAGATTCTTACAGTTATTTTTTAAAATTTTCAGACCTTTTTGGAGCAGACAAGGCTGCAAACGAGAAAGAGATTTACCTAAAATAAGATTCTTGACAAGTTTTTGTTCATCCTCCTTCTTATATTCTAACATCCCTTGGAAGTCCTTTTCCTTCCGTGGAATGTTAACTGGACGAATAGGTTCGTCAATGATTTGTCCAGGTGATATGTTCTCCATCTGGCCCACTTCAGAAGGGAAAAGGAAAAGAAATGATGAAATGCTTTCCAGTGAAGAAATGAAAAAATCCTTTCCAGTAAAGCCAATTTTTGCCACAGCAAACACAAAAAAAACTTCTTCTAGGAAGAACTTAGCTCAAAACGGTTATTTTGGCCCAAGAACTATTTTTCTTTGGTTCCAGCCACCATCTAGTAACAAAACAGTCTCTACACAAGACGACAGATTCTTGATAAATGTATCCCAGGTTGGTGTTCTTCCTCYGAAGAACAGTGAAAATGTGGGAATTATGGAAATACTGCTGATTTCTTGAATTTTATCACAGAAAAGCATAAGGGCCAAGAGACAGCAATTAATCACAGCATCACGGATTAGTACAGCAGAGGTCAGTGTTAACTGTCCTGTAAAACATAAGTATGCTTCCAGCTTGACCCATGTTACTTCAAATCTTGCAATTCAAAACGTTTTCAAACATAGCTCCTTTCTAAGGAATAACAAACACAGACTAAACTATGTTTTCAGGAACATTTTCCCACTCCATACTGTAAAAATTAATATGAACATTACTGTGATCTTGTCCAGAGAAGCAACCAAACAAGATTACCCAGCCACTAACTTCAATCTTAGTACTCAATAAAAATGCTTCTGAAGGATTATTTAACACAGATTATTTTAAAGMAAATTATTTCTTCAACTTTATAAGACTATGAATCATTTTTAGCAATTAAAATGACTTTACTTATCCAGAGGCATAATAAGCTCTCCGTCTAACCAGTCCCAAGGTCCTAAAGCTTCTCACTTTGATGCACACAGAAATAAAATATGCCTAGTTGTACATCAGGGATCTCATGTTCATGTTTGGCCAGCAACTGGGAAGGAAACGCCAGGCAGCAAAAGACAACTGCAGCATTCGCGGCTCCAGCGATACAGGAATTCACAATCAAAAGAAAACTGGGAAAAGTATTTTTGCCTAATTCACATTTAGTATAGCTTTTGTCTTGACAAAAGCAGGTGACATCTTTGAGTACACAAAGAAGTCAGGAAACACTTTCTTTGAATATATTTTCAATATATTTATAAAGATACACATAGGTTCTGAGTGGATCTCCTGTTTTGGGATCAATTAAGAGAGACACCATGAAGACCACAGGCCTCAGCTGCGCCAAGGTAGCCAAGACGGATGGATTCAATGACAACGCGTTCACAAAAAGCAAAACAAAATCTCTGCATTCTCTCAAAGTACCTTCAAGTTCACCAATCTTCTTAGCAAATACTTTCAACTGTTTCTTCAGCTTGCGAACAGTTTTGTCTTGCTTTTCAAGTTGTTCCATTAAATCCTGCAAATTAAGGTGAGAGAAAAATTAATGTCCAAGAGAACAACAAAACTAGTTACAGAGACAGAACCAGCACTGTTAGAATTACAGGACAGTGAGGAAAGCTGAAGAGTAGTGCCATCCTATGGCTGAGGTTTGCAAGCTGGAACAGTGCCTATAACACAAGTCAAATATTACAAATATTATTAAGTTATGTGCAGCATGAGAAAGGCAAAGCAGTACATTCTGCAGATATTCAAAACTAGGTCAGTTCTTGCAGTGAGTAGAAGGCATTTTGCTGCAAATACACCTCCCTAATGACTCCTCTCTGCTCTTCCAAATGCCTCAGTGAAATTCTTTTCTTTATTATTTAACAGCTAGCCTGTATTCTGCACCACTTGTTCATGCTTTTAGGACTGACATCTTATTCAGACCTATCTATATTAAGTGAGTACAAAAGAAGAATCTGGAAAAAGAACATAAATTATATTTAAATGTACTCAAACACCAGGCATCCAAACACATGACATTTCTCACAACACTGCCACCTCCCTGCTCCTTGCTGTCGTAACCCTTCCTTACACTGAAACAGTTCTCACAGGAACCTTCCTTTCACTCCGTACTTGAAGGATATCTAGTATCTAAGAGTCTTAGTATTGCAATATGGTGGCATTTTTCTTTCGAAGGAACCATTCCAGAAATCTAACTTGGAATATTTCTATTATCAATGGTGGTAAATTAATGAAATAATCACATAATTAGAAAATGGAAAGCCTTTACAAAGGATGCCAAACCTCAAGCTCGAAAAAATCTGAAAGCCGTTTCAGAATAAGGGGTTAAAGCAACTTAAAAGAAAAATGCTCTTTTTGTAAACTGGATTATTCATGACACTGAAGCCAATAAGGTATCCYGAGTTCTCTGCATCAAAAACTTCATTGGGGAACCACAACTTTATTAAACGTACTGAAAAATGTTGGTGTAGTATTGAGAAAAAAAAAAGAATTAGGCATAAAAATGCTTTCAATCACATAGTAAAGAGTTCAGAACCTGATACAATGTACTTCAACATGAGATTGCGGAGCTGCTGAAAAAACAAAACCAGGGCATACTTCATATTCCAAATAGTAGTAAAAATTTTTAGAAAGTAAATTATGTTAACAACATAACTATATTCAGATATGCCAATTTCTACTAAAATAATAATGCAGAAGTGTGGTTCACTGTTTTGAAAATATTAGTGAAGAGATTTGATTTCTGAAACATAGTAAGTTCATGAGAAAGAAAAACTTCTCTCTCTAGTTCTTCTAGACAAAATAAACAAATTTCACATCTCATYAATATTTCAAATCTCATAAATGATATTCTTTCCAAGATTAGGTACAGTACAATCTCTATTTGCTAGCCTACCTTTAATTATTGTGGAAATACTATTTTYCCCCCATAATTTCCTATTTGTCCTGCAAATTTTATGTTTATGAAAAATGTTAATTAAAACCTCTGATTAAGTGCACTGCAAACAGATTTGCGAACAAATTCAGACTAGGTGCAGGCTGCTCRTGTTTGCAGACATTATTCTCCTTGATAACTGTCTAACTATTTTGCTGAGCTGAACATTGTATCAAAGTTTTAAAGAAAAGAGATGAATCTGAAAATTTAGCATCTTTTATATCACATATCTCTTCTTCAAGGCATAAAGGCATTTTTAATCCTTAGAATTCAGAAAAAACACTTGATCACAGTGCAAGACTTATATTAGTAACAAAAACGGTGCATCAAAGAGACACTAGGAATACACARAGGACACTCAAATTAACAACCAAAGCAGTGAGGGAAGAAGTCGGCATCGTGAAGCGCTGTCCTTGGAGAGGGAAAAGGCAGAGGCAGCCTGCTGCTCATTAGTGCTCCAGAAACAGCAAACAGGACAACAGAGACACAGGATTCGTATGATCTACATACAATCATCCGTCTGTAAAGTGAAATCCGGTACGACTGATACTTCTTGGGATCATCTGCATACAATTCCTCATAAAACTGTGAAAATAGGTACAGGGTTGTTTTTCTCCTTCCCTTTGCAATACTGATACATCAGTAAGCACTGTATGAGTACAAGCAGCTAACAAACAGGGTCAAGATTCTCCAGTTCTTATATGTGGGGCGCACTCCAGGTTCTTCTAAAGAGAAGCTGATGTCATTGGGTTGCAGAATGGTCAGATCTTTCAAAAATGGCAAATAGTGTTACTGTTTAAGTCTAGAATATAACCTGTGTGATAAATTTGGAAAGGACATTCTTCTACACTAATAAAGATGGGTATACAATGATTATTGAAATTCTAGTATTACACCTTGATAGGGATAGGAGTGGAAAATAATCATATTCCCGATGTGGAATGGGCTCAGAGAGCTACAATACTAAGTAACAAGTCTATACTTAACAAGTAAAATTACATTCACTGTATTTGACAATAAAGAAAACTCCTCTGGGATGTAATTACATGACTGTGTGTTGTCTTGGAAACTCATGATGTGATGAGTAGTTCTCTTGGAGAAAAACAAAAGGCTAAAAATCATAATATATAATTAGGCAGTAGGAATAGCTGTCCAAGATGGAAACATTTGCCATCCACCTTCTCCAGAGTGAGATGGTTACTGCTGAAAGAAACTTGCAATACATTTTTAATTATGCACATACTTCTAGGAAGAGTTTATCCTGATCTATCAGCTGAATTATCTATTGCTTTCCTTAAAAGCTTGGTACTGAGACGTGAGGAAAGACAACAACAGTGAAGACTACACCTTGGTTTGTTTAGTGCGCACAATGATACTCAGGAATTTTCTTCTTCAAATAGTATGGTTCATTTTGCTATAAAGAAGAAACTCYATAGGAAGACCCCAGGCTGATAAGCAGTTTATCAATAAGTATTTCAGCATAGGCCTCTTTGGCAAGTTCTCTCAGGAAGCACATGACAAACATACTCCTCCAGAGAGAAAGATAAGGAATTTTACCTGATCTTTCCTTCATACAAAAAAATTGCACAGCAAACAAGGAACAGCAATTAACCAAGAGACTCCCAACCAAGTGTCTTTTTCTAGAACTACTTGTTTCTTCAAAACATAACACAGTGAATGATCTATGAGCTTCAGCCAGAATGGAGACAAAGAGGAAAATGCTATGTTTAAAAACAAAAGAACTCCATCAGAGAACATAAGGTTCGTGGATATCATTCATTCTGTGTAGGGATGACAGTACTGAAGCCAGTACTGTTACACTGAAATTCACRAGCTTTCCCCATGCTGTTGACCTCTAACACATTCCCTGCCACATTATTACTTCATCGGCACTCATTAGCCTCTCTTACGTTAATTTACCTACACAAATCTATTGCACTCCTGCAGTTTACCATGGGAGGCAGCCACCAGAAAGGCGGTAAGAACTCGTGGACAGAGACAGGCTTGCAGCCTCGCAGGCTGCTGCCCCAGCATCCTCTCCCTTACCAGGTTTTCATTAGTCAGCCGGGTGATCTCATGCTGCAGACTGGCTTCGATCCGGGCCTCTGGGGGCAGCTGCAGGTTCTGYGCCAGGAGCTGCTGCTGGCGGTTGTTTTCTTCCTTCAGACTCTGGATCTCCCCTCGCAGCGACTCCAGTTCATTCTCGTGGCTCTTCTTCTGCGACTGAAGCTGAGACTCCAGCAGCCTAAAGAAGTTGAGCAACAGTTGCAAGWCACTTAGAAAGTTGCACCCCAAATTTGCAGAGGGAGTCTAAAGCTTTAGCTGYTGCTCAGGAACAATTAGCCATGGCTTGCAAGGGAAAATGAAAAAGGCAGAGTACTCTTTAAACCCTTCAATATACCTCTAATTAAAGCTTGCATGATCAAAAAGTGGAGAAAAACTAATTGTGACACTGCTTTGCATTTGCTTTGTGATTGAACAAGCACTGTGTGTGGTACCACAGAGAGCATGTGGTATTAAATGTACTGCTAAGGCTCTGCAGCTTGTCACTGTTTTTAAAGGGGTAGACAAGTTTTACTTCTAACCAAATCAAATCATCTGTGTAAGAGGAAGAAGACAACATATTTGCTTAAGCTCCACGATACTGACAAATTAAAATCTTTTTAGTTAACTCTGTTCAGTCAGAAGCTGAAACATGTAACTGAAAAAACACATAAATTATCATTATTTTTATATTAAAACAAAGATTTTGAAAACAGTTGCCATTTGGGCAGGAAAAGTTAACAAGATGCCCAAACTCCGGAGTGGGATCCAGAAGGGTTTTTTTTATTCCAGGCTCTGCCACTGCTTTTCTGTTTCCACAGTGGCAAATTTTGGCTCGAAAACTTCCCATGTGAAATGGAACCTCTCTCAAAGTAGTGCTGTGTGGACTCGCTCGTGTTTGCAAGACACTGTCCAAGTCTTCTGACTCATAATTTCATAAATATACACACACAGGAAATTACATTAATAGGAACTTGTAGGGGTCAATTAGACAAACAATCAGGGTTTAAATATGCATAAGGAAGGCACATTTATTAGTGAGCAGACTGGCCAAGCTCGCAAGGGCAAATAGTCATTTAACTGCAATGCTCTGCCATTTAAGAAAATCCTTGTTGTCTCTACAGTACGAGGACAAAACAATAAAAGTAAAAAGATGCAGAGCGACCACTCCTGCATCCTGCTCTGCAGAACGCCGGTGCTCAGTTCCATCTTGGCAGGCTTATAAACAAGCGTAGGTTGAGAATTTGTTAGCACAAGAAACAGAAAGACAGTAGTTAGTAGCATTCATTGCAAAATACTTCCTTTTGTGGTTACTGCTACCCAATATTTAATGAAGTCAGTACTGCTGATCTATTAAATTAGTTGGTTGTACAAGACTGAAGACCATTTTGGAAGTCTGGGACACACGAATGCGGAGAGCCAGACATGCACACACAGTCAGAGGGAATTTACTAACAAGGTAGATTCGAACAGTCAAATGTCCAGCACGCAGCCTGGCACGGGTCACAGCGACTGTCCCAGGTTAGGACAGCACCAGGATGAACCACAGATTACTGATCTGTTGGTTATTTTGTGTGTGCTACATTCTGAATCTTGTACAAAGGTGCAGGAGAGGAATTTACCTAATTTCAGCTAGAGTAGAATAGGAAGAGTAACTATCCAAAAATTAWTTTATGCTGCAGCTATTCAAACAATAGCTTTATAATTACTAAATTGAAGGTACTTCTTTAAGCTGAAAATCTGTAAGGAACATTAATTTCCATATCCAACATAAAGACAGATGAACAATACACAGTTACAATGGTGCGGCTTCTGGCATTTTCTAGTCTATTAGTATTTTTGTGAATTATAATATTAGCTGTTCTCACCACCTCAAGTTTTTAAAGATACAACTTGACAGGTAAAAAGRTTTGTGGAAACTCTGGATTTGTAATGATGAATTGTTTTTTTAAAAAAMTATTAGTACATAAGAAATATTGTAGCTAAAGCAAACCCACAGCAAGGGGCACAAGTAGCTAGAAAAGAAGATGCAAATGAAGGAAAAAAAAACATTCTGAGAAGTCTGGTAACCTGTTGGCTTGTTTTAACCCTTCATAAACCAGCCAAAGTTCTCCGTCCTCATTCAGCATATGACAGTCCTGGGGAGATTGTCTTCCAAGAAAAATGTTTAAAAAATACAAAAGAGATACATCATGGTGATGAGATGACAKGTTAAGGGCAGTATATACTATATTACAGTTACTATAAAAGAGAAATAAACAATGCTCTAAAAATGCTTAGCAAAGTATCTTGTAAATCCAAAATCTTTCAAATCCAAATTGCAATCCAAAAATCTTGCAAATCTTGTGCTTATACCTATTTATTCTTAATGATGAAATTCAATTCTCAAGTGTCAGAGATCACAGCTAGTTACAGCATTTCATGATTTTACAGTATGCGTTTTACAACAAGTTACTGTGACAACTACTCAATAATCGATAAAAACATGGGGAATGGCACCCTGAAACACAGAAGGAATGTTAAAAGTAATTGTTTGAGCCATTTAGCCAATTAAAGCTTGAGCGGATGGAAACCAGGAAGTTGGGTTTTGCATTTCCCCATCGGTTCCCAACCCTTTTTGATACTGCATAAGGCAATTTAACTCATCAAATTATATCCCCTGCTACAAGCGCCCGTGAAGAATCTAGGCTTACATGGATGCAACTTACTGAATATGTTATGCCGAGTGTGTCACAGCAGACCCCAAATGACTTAGATCAGATAAAGAGAACTCATACCTGTTTGTTTCCTTCAATCCAATGTAGGCCTGTGCTATTTCTCCTTTGTCCTTCATCTTTTGCACATCCTCCAAGAGGATTGTGGCATCTGTCATGGTATTCTAGAAAAAGAACCATCATTTCCAGGGTAAATTTAACACTGCAGTTGTCCTTTGAATACATATTTTAGTCACTTTACTCAAAAGGAATCTTACTCCTGGAGCAGCCCCATTAAGACCAGTGTGGGTAGTTGGGAAGCAGGAGTCTGGTATGTAACTTCTAAGGCCATTTGGCATATTTTTTAAAATGAATGCCTGCAACATGTGGAAATACCAGTCTGTCTAATAAGCACGTACATGTGACAACCTCATTTGTTCATCACGTAAAAAGAAGGAAATACATTTTATAAAATGTTGGATTTGCATTTTGTTTTGAATTACCAGGAACATCACTAAAAATGGAGAAATGTAATTTTGCAACATGTTTACATATAGAACTCAGTTCTATCCATGCTACTTACATGCAGCATTACAGGGACTCTTTGGAACCTTGTTCCTTCTATTCACACATTCTAAGTACTCGGGCAAAGCCAGGTACAAGGACTGGCAATTTTTTTAAAGTTGGTTATCCTCATGGTACCGCTTTGTTTCCGTCTGGAGTGTTTACTACCACACTTCCCTTTTCCTTTGGCAAAACTTTCACCAGCTAACAGGTTTCCACAGGCACCTGAACTAGTCTATCTAAGCCTTACGCCTTTCCTGTGGATGCTATTGGTGAAGCCACAAGGGGCCATTGGATATATGAGATAAAATTCTGACTTCTTGATGTTCAAAATAATCAAGTGCTATTTCCTTTAGCAAAATTTTACTAAATATTGGCTACAATAATTTCATGCACATATATATTTAGAGTGCAACTTGAATAATTTGGGTTATCTTCTGTGAAAACCATAAGCTTCCCATCAAATTATTCCCAACATCCTTATGGAATATTTCTGATTCTTCTGTTTTATTATACAGTAAAACTGTTGTAATTTCATTTGCCAATCTACCAAGGYTTAGCAACCTGCACATATTTATTATTTTTGTGTTGAAGAAAAGAAGTGCTAAATACTCCTCTGTCTTCAAAAACACCCTACGTGCTCTACTTGTATCATTTAATTTGTCAGCCTTCATTTAAGGTCAGTTTGCTTCCTCATACTCCTAAGCATTTCCAAATCACAGTGTTGCTCCTACCCTCCAAATACACTGAAAAGATATATTGACTGAGTTAGATAGACTTATGATTCCCTTCATGCTGAAGTTAGCATATACCAACAACTCCAAATGGTTAAATTTGAATGTTTCAAAGTAACTTGTTTCCTTTTGCRAGAGGAAATTGGATGGATTTAGGGATGGGATAATGCGAATGGTCTCTTCAATAACAAAGGGTGAGAACAACATCAACAACATGCAGGTTATGAGATGCAGCGAAAGGACAGCTCAAGCACTGGTGAAGTTTTTTAGCATTTAAGAGATGCTCATTTATAGCTGTGGGAAAAAAAAAATATGTACCTTATCCTCCTGGCAATCAAATTGGTAGGCAAGAGAGAAGAGAAACAAATCATTAAAAGATTCTGTTCACGCTGCAGCTATCCAACCTAACAAGCAGAAGCTGTCTATAAACTGCCTATTAGCCATCCCCCTGTCACTTCTCTCATAACAGCTGCCAAAACAACACTTGGATGCCACCTTTGTTGAGAATTAGTCACTCAAAGATWTACTATTCAAGAATTTATGTTCCTATTACTACAGGAAAACAACATTTTATCCCCATATAATTAGTCATTTAAAACAAGATATATACCCTCCCATGCATCACAGACTTCCAATTTATTTAGCACAAATATAAGAATATCTTTGCAGTAGCAAAGAAAAGAGGACACCACTGTTCATTCCCTGCTGAGGTTATGAACCGCTAGATATTTCAGTTCAGTGGGAAGGATGAGTTACTGGATTGACCTTACACATGTCTGCCAGCCTGGTGTGACTCGTACGGTATCTTTGTATGACTGCTGGTAGATAAACCCAAATTGCTTCAGTTTCCCAATTTGAAGTGCTGCATTTTGTGCACTAATACCTCATCATGAATTGCCCCTAAAAAGGCTTTGGAGCTTACACCATTTTCCTCTGCCTTTCCAATCATGCTGCAAAGTTAAATAAAGCACCTCAGTGATGCAATTTAGCTTTACTGCCCAGTACATCTGCTGACTATTTTTTACCTTAGGTTGAATAGCTTCTTTCTGGCTAACCAGCTGAGACCGGAGTATGAGGACTTCCTCCTTGCGCACTTCAAGCTCTTCACTCACTGAAGTCAGCTGATCCAGCAGGACCCTGTAGGCAGGGGCACCCGGAGCAGTTACCTCTGGAGACCGTGTTTCTGTAAGGGCCTTCTGCAGCTCATTCAACTCATTCTTCAGTTTTTTATTCTCAGATTCCAGTTCTTGACGCTGCAAGAAACAGGAATAACTCCTTCACTCAGCATAATTCCTATACCAATAAAATACAGCCATGAAGATATGGATAGAGAGGCTGAAAACTAGGAGCAACTGTGACAAATCACTTGCTCTAAGGGAGGGTCACTCCATTAAACCTGGTTTCTTGACTGCTCTGAAATCCTCTGGAAGGATTTCACCAAATAGGGCTACCTTTTGTCTGAAATGTCATATCAGAATACATATATATGAATCATACAAATTTGATGGAAAACATTACCTTTTTTTCCCCCTTGTTCTTCCCCCCTTTTCCCTGCCGCAAAAAAAAGGTAGTTCCGAACAAACAGTAGTGAGCCAACTATGAGGAGTCTGCAGCATTCAGTGATACTGGGAAATGTTTTTACTTTTAGTGGTCTTAAGATATGCATCAATTTCAATAGCGTGTTTGGAGSAAAGGGTGACACTCAGCATTGCATTCTTGCTTAAATTAGCTTGCAAGCTGTACTAAGCCATGAACAAAGAACACTCTGTTTTAACTGGATCTTCTTGATGTGCAGCCTCAGCCACACATTCTATACACAGAAAGGATAATGCTACAAAAATGGCTTATTGGAGATAAACCATTGATTGGTTTCAGCTAATATGCTGAAACAAGAGAATTGTTTGTATTTTCTAACTATGCTAGTAGGTATAATTGGTGACAACATTCTCACTGTAAGATTAAATTTTACCTTGAGCGACTCATATTCCAACTCTGCACCTCTTATCGGGGGCCTTTCTTCCTCCTACGAAAGGACACAGACAATAGTGAAAAACAATCCACTTCTTTCTATTCTTTGACTGTGCTGAAGCAGGCAAAGGAAAGCAAGCATTCTGCAGCCACAAAAAGTTGCAACCACTTTTAGTTCCTGTTAACTCCAATGAAAGGATCTCAGTGATACTGGAAAAAAAACCAAGTAGCCCATGGTAGCAACTACTGCAAGCACTGATGCATAAAACTTACTGCCATTAAATGAAGCAAGTACTATGGGAAGGTAAGAATTTAGTACAAGCCAGTCAGCATTCACACAGTTGATATACTGCAAGGAGGGATACTCTGGCATCAGCATTTCATCAGCTAGAAGGATTCCACCTTAGCTTTAGCGCGTAGAGCCTGTTCTTCCTTTCTGTCCAGTTCATCCTGCAGGGATTGCTTTTCTTGCTCCAGCTCTGTAACCCGTTTCTGCAGCTTGAGGAACAGAGACATATCCAGTGGTGCCTTTTTCTCACTTGGTTCCTGCTTTAGAAAGGACAGAAGGAAGTCACCAAGTGTTGCATTTCCACATCAAAAGAAAGCACTACTGTGAGTAAAGGAGGGAAACAAATTGGGGGAGAAGAAAGGAACACAGAAATGTTGCTTGATTCTGACAGCTGGCTACGGGCATCTAAAATGTTTCATAAGCCATGAGAAGACTATTTTACAAAGGAACTAACACTTCTAAACCTCAAGTCTAACAAAAGAAAGCACTAAAGACTATCTAGCAGACAGCGGGTCTACAGTTAAGCATACCTTCTTGTCTTACTTGTGTGGAGGGGGAAAGGAAAAAAACATCTGTGGTTAGACTCACTTGGAAAGTAACTGCAGGTAAGAGGCTAAGTTTCTTCTTTATCAGTTATTTCTATAGCAGCTTCTTTAGCTAAAGAGAAATCTCTATGCTGATTACAGAATTAGAGCCATGATTAAGCAAAGGCAATTTAGAGGAATATGAAATAGAAAGGCTCAGATGATACATTTTATGTCTTTTTTGTTCTATTATGCTAATTAAACAGCCTGTACTAGAACTAAGCCACTAGCTTTTGCAGTGTTTTCTGGGCAAGGACCAGCATTTGTAGTCTGAAAGTGCATYAGGAATTGTTCATCAGCCATTTTGTACTTTATGTAGCAAGAAGATTAAAGTATCGACTACAAAGTGCACCATAAAATTCTGAAGCTCAGAAAAGGAACTAGAAAATTAATATTAACGACTGTAGCAGACAAGCAAGCACAGCCATTTCTACCTCATCCGCTTGTGAGAGTCATAAACTACATCAGCAGCTTAGCAGAAAAAAGAAAAGCAAATATTGAGATATTTTAATCCTAAGCAGTAAAATGAAATGACCTCTACCTTTTTCATAATGTTTGGTATTGATAATTTATATTGTTAATCTATAGTAAAACTGAAGTTTGTCTGCACAGAGTATGACTTCAGTATAATGTGTCCCAGTATTTGAATGCTGATAGAAAGTCATCTTCTGTTGAGAATTTAAAAACAAATTATTGCAATAAAAAAGTGCAATTATAGACATAACTAACAAGGACAGACAWCAAAAGGAGAAGTTGTGGGTCTATGATTCTATGACTGATCACAGTTAAGAGTGAAGCAGCAGTTTAAGAAAAACAAAAAAAATTCCAGTATGCACAGGGAAAGTTACCAGGTCTAAGCTGCCAAGCACAGATTATGAATATGACCACCTTTTCATTTATAACCCATAGATATATTACTCCTATAAGTCTATAAGTCTCCTGTTTTTTTTTCCCCTTCCCTTTAATTGTCACTTTTGGTCAAAGAGATAATTGTGCTTGTTGTGCTTGTAAAAGATGGTATCTGACAGATGCAAATCACCTGGCCATGCATCTAATCTACACTGCTGCATTAGAGAAGATTGTAAGCATCCTTTCATCAAGCCAACAACCAACTACAGATTGAGCCTTTTTGTAAAGGAAATGGAACAGGATTTCTCAATATAAATATTGATTCCTCAGTTCCTCAATATAAACAYCTGGTATTCAAAAACACACAGAAAGGGAGATATGAATTAGCTCAAACATTGATAAATGACAAGTGGGTTTTGGTGGTGGTGGTGAAGTTTTGTTTGTTTGTTTGTTTTTCATTTAGTGTTACCTCCATCCTCAGTGGTAAGTCTTCTGCCTCTGTGATCTCAGAGCTGAAAGTATACTCGGATTCATTGCTACTGTGAGTCGAATCTGTTCTTTTGTGTCCAGGCTTGGGGATGTTCTGGAATGTAAATGAAACAAATTAATATAAATTAATACTGCATGTCTCTTTACAACCAATAATTTAAGCTTGTAATATTCTGTATTATTCCATAACTAGCACAATTTATAAGAAAGTGTTTATGATTCTGGTCTCTCATGCTAGCTAAAGCCTGCAAGATATAGTTCGCAGTTCAAACATATGGAGACAGGTCAGCTCCTATTCCATCAAGTATTTGCTGTCAAAAGCAGAAGCAAGCAKTTTGTGGGAAAGAAAAATTTGATTTACAGGGAAGGAGCAAGCAGAGTAGGAAAGTGGAGGCAGTGACTCTGAAATTCCATTGACAGAATTCTCACTGCATCCTCCTGCCACACAGAAATCAGCACTAGCTGATCCAATATGTGCTGATAACTGGTGGGTAAAATGAAGACAGAAGGTTATGTGAATTACCATCAGCCACATCACAGCAGAGGTTTAACCTTCTTCCACAAAATTGAAAATAAAGAATATTTAACCACAAATTTTAAATGGTTTTGACAGTACAGTGCATTTTCACTGAGCTAATTTAATTAACCCATACTTCAAAGAACAAATCCCGTTTTCAGATACAGGTAACCACCAGGCAGCTGAGGCAAAACAGGCTGTAAATTGTACCATCAGATTAACTAAAGGACATTTAAGAACAGCTCTTAATTTCCCAGATCTTTATCCACTTACCACCATTAAGTTCATTTCATCCCTAAGATCATCATAACGCTCTTCTAAGCGGCTGAACTCATTCAGCAGGTTCTGATACCGTAGCCTTTCATCATTCAGATCTAGCTCCAGCTGCTTTGTTTCCTCCACGAGCTTCTTCTCCATCGTTTCTGCAATAGAGAAGAGGAAGCCAAAGTGACAACTCCACATCTGTTGTCACCTGTGGTGTATCTGTTCTGYGGTGCAGGAGGTGCATGCACACCAAGAGCACAGGGGCTGAAAGGCCTGTGATTTGCCACTAGTGTGTGGTATTGGTGCTTCTGCAGGTAGACACAGAGCCAAGTCCACAAAGGACCACAGACTTATCGTGGCAACCACACTAGGGTTCAAAGTAGCCTTCAGTCAAGCTCGTCACTCTTCTAATGCCCGACATTAGCACTTCCAGARGACAGGAAGAAGGAACATTAGGGCACTGCTACCTAATGTACAAAGCAGCCATGAGATGGTCTATGCCCCAGGCACACTGATCCTCCTCACCCCAGCTGCCTCTGCATACCCATCACATCTAGTGGGTGTGCAGGGGTGTCTACAGTCTTCTGGCTGCTGACTAGGGAGCCACAGCAGCTCCTGACACAGCAGCTAGGAGGGCTCCAAAACGCTGGCTCATGTTCAGAACCCTCTAGGGAGGTAAGAGACTAGGAACACGAGTGTCTGCCTGCCCATGCAATGCAACATTTGCTGTATTCACTGTATTAAAAAGCCTCCTTTTAAAGTAAAATGCTTTTTCACAGCAATCCTCATGAGAAAGACATCAAAATCTTCCTGGAAATTCAAATAGTAAATAATTGTGATGTGATTAAATTCTTAAATTTATTAGTTAAACTAAACAGGAATATAAGCTAGAACGTATTAGCAAAACCTAGCTAACAGAATGTTGTTTTATAAGGTAACCTTAAGCATAAACAAGTGAAGAGAAAAGAACTGACCTGTTATCTCCCTTGCCTGGTCATGGATGCGACGGTTCAGCTCCTCCTTTTCGGTTTTCAGTAACGTGTTCTGCTCTTTCAGGTCCGATACAAGCTACAAAGATAGCAAAATATTTGATTTTGATCAGAATGCACTTAATCTCCCATCACTAGCCCTAACAGCAACTGCACCCTTGCTACAGGAGTTCAAATCGATTTTTTAAACAGTTCCTCCTCACTGAGGAACACTGAGGAGTTCCCCAGGAGCTCCTCACTCCTCAGCCAGTGAGCTAAGTTACGACATCGTCATTTCTCAAATTACATTTATTTCATGCCCCCTGTGCAGATTCTCCCACATGTTCTATATTCCATTTCTGATCAGATGCTGAAATGAATTTAGACCACTTCATTGTGCCATAGTATTTTCCAGTAAAATCCCTAAAGGTGTCATTTATTGTTTAACATAGAAATATTCCTAAAATAAGAACAAATTCAGTAGTTCGCTCATGCAATTCCATTGCTTTTGGCAAGATCGTAATCTAACATCTCCTTTACACATGAAAGTTGAGCCATTTTGACCGTGCCAAGATTTGTCAGGTCCTCATTTGCCTCTGTTTATGGTTACCACACATTCACTGTGCTTAGTCAACCGATATTTTTCCTTATGCACACATAATCTTGAATTGCATCATTGCAGCAGAGCATAATGAAGACATTGATCTTCCAGTATTCAAAACTGGCATTATATCAGTAGGTAATTATGGCAAGGAACAACTTGTTTGATATGTTCGTGGTTAAAGCAAAGATAAGGGATTGGTCAAAACCTACTGAACTAATCTGCACATAGACACACACGTGTGTGTTCAGCAGACTGATTGTTCAAATAAGGAAAGATAAATAGGTACCTTTAAAAACTGCACATACTTCTGAACTCTATACAGTTTTATTGGCTAGGCAGATAAAAGGATTTCTTTGTTTGAGCGCTCTGTCTCTGAGTGAGCTCAGATATTTGGATTGCCAATATTTTCAATTTTAAAACCTGAATAGATGTAATACCTATACTTATATATGAAATACAGATTTAATATATTTCTCCAGCATAAGTGTAGTACTGGGCCTATATAGAGTTATACAACATTGCTTTAAAATATTGTAAAAATGCTATACATGCCACAAAATACTGAAAAAATGAAAGGGGTAAGGCTTCTGGAAATGTTTTCACGCAAAGCATCTAAAAACACTGAAGAAACGAGAGCACTTGCTGTATTTCTGTGCTTCGCAGTAACATACCTCCTGTCTGAAATCGTCTGTGAATGCTACACTGCAGGTCAAAAACCTGGAACACAGACAGGCAGGGAAGCAGCAGCAGGATTGTTGTTAAGGGTCCTGAGACCCACCTGAAGTGACAGTATTGCTGAGGCCTCTTTTAGGGATGCTACACTCCACATGGCAGACTGCATCCTCCCACACAAACAAGGGAAGAGGAGAAAAAAGGGACAATTTCAACCCCTTAATAAGATGCTAAAGCCAATTAATAAGAAATGGCAGCAAGAGGAATAAAAGGGAATGCAGAAAAAAAATACATTACGCCTAATGTTGCAGTATTTGGGAAGTGAACACTTGCCTGCTCAGTTTCATGTTTGTATTTGTCTGCCCACTCCTCGATTGTCTTCTTCTCAGTCTGAGTCTGGTGCAGCTCCTTGCGGAGCTTGGCGATCTCTTCCTGAAGACTGAGCACGCGGTTCGTGGCATTCTTGGCCTCCTCCTCRCTCGTCCGAAGCCGCTCCACGTCGCTCCGCAGCCTCTCTGTCTCCGTATTGTAGGTGATCTCCAGGCTACCCATCTTCTCCAGCAGAGATTTGTACTCTTTGTTCTTTGCAAAACACAACACAGACACAGCAGCAGTTGAAATATTATTGATTATGGAAGCCTTCTATTTGCCTACAGAATATACATAGATTGGGGAGGAAAAGAGCAGTTTTCCCATTTCCAAAAAGCTGCAGTCTGTTTTTGCAGGAAAACTGCTTAAAGAGGTGACAGCACAGTACAGTCTCTAAGCCTGTGCATTAACGTCCTGAATTCAAATCAGAAGAAGCAGCCCACATGCATCCAACATGATCTTATCACTTTCCCCTTAAAACAGCTGAAATGCTTCAGAGGAAACCTGAAGTGAAAGGAGCAGATGTTTCCTCTCAGTGTTGCTGTGTTACAAGTGGATGCTCTGTTTTGTTATTACTGTGGTCTCCTTGTCTCATCTATCAATGTTCTTCCACGAAGAAAACATCTGATTCCGCACAATGAAAATTCCAGGCATTTTTCAGTGAGTGCCCATGGTGCTAATGAGGAGGATGAGACAAGACTTCCAAACGTCTTCCCTGAGCAGGAAGCCCTTACCTGATCATCAATTTTTCGCTGCAGCTGCATGATCTTGTTCTCCAAGCCAATGTGAAGCTTCTTGTAGCGCTCCACAGATCTGGCCTCTATCTTCAGTTTCTTCAGCTCCCTCTTGGCCATCATGCGCCGGTAACAGCATTGCAAGTAAACAATTGCCTTCAGGGTCCTCTGGTAACGCACTYGAGCCAGCCAGCCTCTGACATGCTTCTGAATAACAACAGACTTGTGCTCCCGAAGCATCTACAGTTAAGTAAAAAACAGCACAAGGGGCATTAGAGTTGCAAACTACACTGCTCAGTCACCACAAACAGGGTTGTAAAGCTGGCGGTACTAGAGGTACCAGGGTCTGAAAACAAACCTGCTGGTACAGCAATAGGAAATGAAGATAGAGTTTAAAAAAAAGTGAAAAGGAAAAGAGGATGGGAATAGGCAGGAAGACTAGGAAGGAACTAGATGAAAGACATACAAAAAAAAAAAAGGAACTGGAAACGTACTGAAAAACTGGACATTCGTTTGTGTTGATGTCAGATCTAGGCTGGCTACAACACTACATGGTACCTATTGACAGGATTACAAAATAGAAGCCAATTGAGGACTTGGTGCTGGGTGGGTTTTTGTTGTATTTTAACTGTACCTTTATCTTGAAACTTCTTTAATATACTGATATACGCAGCATAGGCTTCATCCATATACAGTTTAAACACACTGATGCTCAGTGCAACCATTACATGCTGCAGTCTGGAGCACAGTATAGTAGCTGCTAACAACAACAGCTGCAGTCTACCTGAGCGACTACAACTTCAATTCCACTTGCCTATTTTCCCTTCTTTGAGGGATTTCATCCACTAGCCTGAATGGAAAAATACCTTTCTCACTACTTATTCTAATCAGAAATTCTATACTGAGATGCATTTTTTTTTAAATCATTTTTGAAGATCAACAGTCAAGAACACCAGCAACTTCTCTCAATGTGATAGCCAGATTCCCACTAGGAAGATTCTACTGCTTGGCTTTGTAACAGAGATGTGAGCAGAGACGCCTGAGGTCTGAAGGACCTGAATTCCAGGGGACCACAGCTATGCTGGTAGAGCAGGCCCAAACCCACAACACCTCCCCATCTCGGAGATCTTTGGAGCTCAGCTAACAAAGTCTGCAAACTCAACAGTTCTGCCCAAAGATTAAAACTCCTCAAGATTTTTACATTACTTCCTTGTTTTGGTAAAGACCACATAGAGTTTACATTCTTACAATGATTTTCAACAAAGTTGATAAAACAAGCTAATACTAAGAAAATTATCTTTCATATTTCATATGAAACACATTGAAAYGTGGTACAGATGTTACACTTTCAGATCAATGAATCAAATGACTCAATGGCAAGGAAGCAAGATTATAAGACAAACTTTCTCCTTTCACCATTTATTTCTAAAGAAAAATTGAGAAACCGAAAGAACAACACTAGAAAAACAACACAGCTAGGTAAAGAAATGGAACTATTAAAAGTATAGAAGGTCAAAAGGCAAAGTCCTTCTGAGTGTACAGCATGCAGTTGACTTCCCTGACTCCTGTTTCTCTTCTAACATGTTTACCTGAGTAGTTCTTCAGGTTACCTGCCGATGCCTTAATAGCTCAAATGCAATTTGTTTTCAACATTATTTTCACCCCAAGTTTGAAAGCAACAAGTCACATAAAATACCTCCATTCTGTAGGGATGGTCCTCATCTGCCAAGGTGTTCTTATATACATGTAATCCAATGGTGAAAGAATATACTCCCACGAAAGAGTATCAGAAAATGTATTTAATTTACAAGCTATTTCCCAGGAGAGCTTATGCCAAAGCTGTGGAGGAACTCAGCTCCCGTCAGACTGACAACCACACCTGAGAGGCTCAGGCAGCAGATCCCCAGGACGTAGGAAATAGGTGATTCAGCCTTTTAAATTCCTTGTGTTAGTCATGTGACTGTAACACATGCCTTCTACTATAAAAACAAGAGCCTCCTTTCACAACCGTAATGAGCCCGTGTGTACCACAGACAGAGTCACAGTTCAACCCAAGGGTGCTGTCATAGGCCTACCTTTTAGTTTCWTCGACCTGCAATGGCCAGGAATTTCAGGACCATCATGTTAATCTCAGCATGGCCAAACTTGTGCTTCTTTCTACAGACATCCCTGTATCTTAGTTTTAAGAAAAATCCACCTTTCAAGGGCACTACACATATGGCATTTAATATATATCTCATCTGTACTACCAGAATTTCATGTTTTACTATAGGGAACAACTCACTGTTCTAGGGGGATACTCCCTGACAGGCAAGTCCAACCACCTCTTATGGGGATCTCTCTAAAATCCAGCATTTCTATTAAAAGGAAATGTAACAGGTTTATAAATCAGTGTGCTACGAGACAGATGCTGTGTATATCACTCGCATGAATCATTTCTGGAGTACAGAATCATCTCCCAGATTCCTAAYGGGGGCCTTCATTCTGCATATTAATGTGATCCCCCCTCTCAATTTAGCATGAAGTTTATTCCTTTCTGCAGATTAGCTGAATTGCATCTATTAGATTACTGATAAAAATGTCTTATATCTTCTAACAACATAAAATATATAACACTAAAAATACTAATAAAAAGGCATAAACTACAAAAATACATGCCTACAAAAAAGGACAATTGAGCCAAGCACAGGTGGCAAAACTTATTACTTAGAAATTCTGTCTGGGGATTGTTTGTTTTCAAACCTTTGGGTTAAYGTATGTCAAGATGCTATGTACACATATGATTGTAGCTTTAAAACAAACATGTGGAACATAAGCACTAATTAATTTTTGAGTTATATGGTTTTCACATCTGTTTGAGAGAAAAAAAAACCACTTTGAAAAACCTTTGAATAACTTTTCTGTGAAACAGAGGCTTCATAGGAAAAAAGAGCCCTGGAAAAAAAATGCCATATTATGGTCTAACCATCTGAACCATCATTTGGTTTCCAGTCTAGTAATCACTGAAGAATAAATTCTAATTTCTCTAAAGATTTTTTTTCCTTTAATATGAGTTAAAATTTAATTTGAATTTTTAATTCAAGGACAGTCAGGAAAATGTTATCAGTATCACCAGGACTATAGCAGTTTCTCTCCAAAATAAATTCAGCATTAATACATAAAACTCCCCAAACAAACCTAAGTTTTAATCTCCTATTTCTCTGAGTATCTGCTTACTAACATTAACCTTGTTCAGCATATTCTTTCAATCACACTTTTACAGCACTTCACAAAATCACTGAAATAAAGAGTAGTGCATCATATCTACATTCATGTAAGCAATATTAATTTAGATTCGTGAAGGCATATTCACACAAGCCTTTCAGTATTTCAGATTTTCAGTATTTAAGGGTCTCAACTTTCTAAATAATGAACAAAAAAAMCCTTTCTCAAGAGGAGTACTCTAAACTCATGCTAGATGCTCCTCTGACTGTATAGCGCATTCAGGTTAGCTGACACATGAGCATCTCTAAAATGACCAGTTCACTGACTGCAGTACCAGATCCTTCTGATTTCTAGGTGTTGTGCTTCAGTACATGCTCTGGTACCTGGCATAACAACACAGATACAAACATTCCACGTTCTCCTGGGCACACCATAGAGCAGCTTTGTCCAGAGGGTATGTGGGAATGAAGCCACAGAGAAGTGGAAACACATGAGGATTTCTTACCATTTGGTATTTGTTCCTGGCCATGTAGCCTCTTAAGAGGGACTGAAGAGCAATAGTGGCAGCCCGCATGCACTGGTATCTTTTGCGGACCACGTACATGCGCTGGAACTTCTGAATAGTGATRGCAGCCCGTGTCCTCCGCAGGAACTTGGCATAGCTATGTGAGAAAAAGAGTACAGATTATACCTGCAATTATTTCACAATTCCTGGATAACATTTTACATCCTGTAACTAGATTGTCTTAAGAGCTGCATATTCTACTTCAGTTTCTTCCAAGTGTCATCAGCAGGACAGCATATTTACTTGCTCTTCTACCATATGGCAATATGACAGAGTAACAAATGAACAGAAATGTTGCAGGTTTGTCAAGGAAATGTTTTCACTTCCTTTGAGAACTGTGCTATAGAACTGACAGATAAATTCAGTTTCATTTCTCATCACCTTGTCTCCAGCTTTAAAGCCGTTTCCACTACAGCCTTCCACCTTCCAGGTTTCTTAACTCCTAGATGTAGAAAATGTTTATTCCCTCAACAAGAGAATTACACAGTATCTTGATAYTCCTTCCCAAGGCAGATTCTTACCATCTTTGTAACCACCTCGCCTCTGAATGATACTACCCATCCTCTACTCTTTTCCAAGGCTCATCCCTCACTCATCAAACCAAAGGAATGATTCTAGCAGATGTAGCTCCCCCCACAGCTCCACCCTGTACGAGCAGTGGCTTTTCCAGCACTACAGACAAACTGAACTGGGACAGCAAGTGAGAGCTGGGCAGTAAGAATTCAGCCAAAAGCCCAGCTTGCCATCACGTGCAGACATATCTCCTCATAGTCCCTTTATTCTACTCCAGCTAGCAGCACACTGTCCTAAGCATCACGCAGCCATAAAGCTACCATCTCCKCATGAAGGTCAGAAACAGGCAGAACAGATATACTCATTAGTCTTTTTTCCTTCATTCCACTGTAAAATTCCCTCTTAGCCAGTAGCAGAAGGAGAGAGAAACTATCACATTTAAATGTCCTACTTAAAGGGATCTGAATCGAGGCTAGTCCAGGTTGTCCCAAGAGGACTGCTTACCATCGTGCCTGGTACCCTCTGACATATCTCTGAATGGTGATGGCAGCCTTCCTCAGACGCATGTACTTCTTCCGCATCAGCCAGCCCCGGATCGTCTTTTGGATGCGGATACAGGCAGCTCGCAACTTATCTGCCCTTATTTTTTCTAGATAGGCTACCTGACCAGCCCGGAAAAATATTTTTGTCTTGCCAAACTGGTACTTATCCTTGTCCTATTTTCAGAGGTAAAAAGATGATCAGTTACAGAAATGTTAGTGTATTAAAAAAAAAACAGGCATGAGGTCTAAATGAACACATAGTTAGTAAAGAGATAAAATGATGTGTAATATTTCAATTAAATCTAAACTTAAATTAGTGGAGCGTATTCTACTATTTTCTCTGTACGACTCTCTTAAATAAATACAATAAGGCTACATATAGGGCCTTAGGGAATAAAACATGAGGATTTTGCTTAGACAAGAATGTCACAAAGTCTGCAAGAGACTTGAAGAGTAAGAGAAGTGAGCAAGAGGCCCAGAGGATGAAAGCAACATAAATAATGTACATTTGCAACTTCTCTCCACCTCTTCCCCTCTGCGTGGTCAGTCTTCAACCACACTGCTCTGTATAAGTGAGGCAGCTGAGGCTTCAAACTTGTATTTATCATTTAGTGCACACTAAGGCAAGGCAAGCAGGTAATGGTGAGAGGACTACAAGCCTGAAAAAGTTTGACTTTAATATAGGAATTGAAGAGAGTGAAAGACCCAAACATATACCCAGACAGAAGCAGCTCCACATTAGAAAGCTTTCAAATAGCCTTCAGAGTTAATATRCCCTGCTGTTAATCAAGGTAACCTTCGCCCTCAACCCACATTTAAATTCACTGTCTTCCTTTCCTCTGATACACTGGTATATCAAACTACATTCCCTATATAGCAATACTGGAGCTATACACCAGAGAGCCTACTTTATTTTATTATAGTAAGAACTGCTTGTCCTTAGGAGGAGCCAAGCTTCAAAAGATCAATGAACTAGCACAGCATTTAGAAAACCTATGACTTCTTGTGCTAACACGGGATGATTGGTAGTTTTATAAAACATTAAAAYAGTGTAATTATTTACAAGCTGGCAAAGGGAAGCTCTATCCCTTCAGATTCAAAAATGTTAAGCACTGAGTCTCGTACCAGAATGAGCTTCTCCAGGACATTTTTACATGTCTGTTTTCTGTCACTAAGGACGTCTCTCTGCTTCATCAGAACACGGTAMCGACTGAAGAACTCTTGGTATGTCCACCTGTGCCAAAAGACAGAGTCAGGGTCAGGCCAAACTGTGAAAACCTCTCTCAACATGAGTAACTGTCACTGAATGTAATCTAGAATAAAGCAACTATACCTTGAGGGGAAGCCAGCGGCACTGATTCGGATGGTTTCCAGGACACCGCAAGCCCTAAGCTGCTGTACTGCCCGTTTTTCATCAAATCTATTTAAGAATAAGGAGAGTTCATCAGCGGACTTTTGAGGAAAACTCTAAGCAATTTAATATATAAAAAGATAAGGAATAAGAATATGCAGAAACAGATTTCAATCAAAGAAGGCAAATGTCAAGTGAACTCAAGGAGTGCAAGCTATCTGTCAGGCTCAAAACAGGAAGCAATGAAGCTGCTGATACTTTTCTTCCTACACCATAATGAAAAAAATACTCCTCAAGAAGTACTCTTCCTTCTGTTCATTCCAAAAAAATCTCCTATCTAAACACATGCATACTCACAGTAAACATATAACAACAGAAATAAGACACACCACTTCATTCCTGAGTGAGCAACGGCTAGCAGAGCTGTGATCCTCCCAGCAGTTGGCCCATTCCCCCACTAAGAGTCAAGCCTCCATGGACCATGCACAACCCAACTTACGTGAATGGAAACTTGAAGTCATTCGGCTTAATACAACGCACGTAGTGGGGAGTTGTAGCATTGAGGGTCTCCATCAGCAGATGAAGCGAGTTTCGAAACTTTAAGAAGAAGAAAAAGGAAACATTATCAGGGAACAACCTGAATGAAATAACTTCTGAAAGGGGATCTCTTGATACTGGCTTACTTGTCACAGTGATTGCGGTAGTAAACACAGCACCAAGTTTTTTTTTTTTTTYAAATGGCAATAGTTATCACAGTCTCAGATACCATCTTTAAGTAAACTGTGTTACAGTGAGACTTCTAAATATTAACCTTTATGAAAGTAAAACTACCCTACAGGTATGTGATAAATTACAAAAAATACAAGAYAGGCAGAGCTATTTTCAGCTTTTCAACATCTCATTTACTTTAGATCTTTTTCTAATCCACCTGATCATGTCAAAATCTCATAACAAATTAAATAGCTCTTTAAGTAAATTTTAAATCAAATTTTAAGTCAGAAGAGTATTTTTTTTTTAAAAAAAAATTCCTTTGGCCTCACTGACCCCAGTGTCACACCTCCCAGGACATGGAGTTACACCTCCAAACTCACCTGATGTCCCACAGTTTTTTTATGTTCCTTGCTGGTTTGACCTGGTCTGGTCTTAGCTGGTTTTACAACAGTCCGAGACAAGGGCACACGGCCCGAAGGGGTCGCAGACGTAGGACTGAGGACCTTCTCCTCCTCCTGGAATAACTCTGGTAGCAGCTTAAACTGGTGTAAGAGTAGAGAAAAATATGATGGCCAAGAGTCCAGCAAGCGATTCCACCCTTTTCTATTTAAGATGCTAGAATCCAAGCTCAGGTTTGGTAAGCAGTGTTTTCTTCTATCCCATGGGGAGGAACAGGGACAAGTGTAAAACGTATTTAAGCTTTAAGTAGTGTAGTGAGTTTACTGATGATGCCATACTAAGAATTTCATGGTTTTGATCAGTGATACTTCTTCTGAAGGTAAAATTCTGATCTGCGTTTCTTTAAAGAGTCAGCAATAGCTTCCATGGGGAATTGTTAGATCACAGATATTCAGATATTAGAGACTGAGAGCAGTTTTGTAAGTGTCAAATGCAATTATATAGATGTTAGGTGGAAACAAAATGATCCTCTCCTATTCCAGGGATGCGCAGGACTCCCTTGCGGCTGAGAGATTTTATAAGGCAGGACCCTGAATAAGCCAAAAGGCAAGAATATTCCTGCTTTATCGCTCTAAAATGAAATAATCAACTGAAAAGAACAACCTTCAAGTAAAAAAATGGAACCATTTGTCTGATTGAACATCTGCTCTTGTGGGAATGGAAGAAAAAAAAAATCATCTTCTCAATTATCACCCTGGGCTCTGGTTCCCTTTTTATAACTATAAACAGCTACAAAACACACCCAAATATAATAAAGTAACTTGTAACTACAAGTAAAACCATCAGGCCTTTCAATTGACAAATTTTTCATTTCAGAAGCATTACAGGCATAAGAAAGCTCAAACTTCTTTACCTGTCAATGAACAATCTTTTATCTAGRCTCTGTGTATTTTCTCCCAAGACAGGAGCATTCAATTTTCAGTACTCGAAAGTGGTTGGTCTAAGTACAGTCTAAAAATAATAATAAAGGTTTTGCCTTATAAAACTGGGTGAATATGCAYGGTACCCAGTGAAATATGCTGTGCAACAAAATATTTGTGCTCAGTGGTTGTACCAGATGGACTAGGCAAAAGGCATCAAACAGTTCCAGCACAGCACTCTAACAGAATATAATGACTGTGAACACCACAAAGATATCTTAAATCCTTTAACTGTAAGAGGAGTATCACAGCTCAGCTTTATCTGATCTGAGCCYGCTAGATTAGGAACACGGTCACCTCAGATTACCTCTTTAACTGATGGAAGAATGACATCTCCAGAGGGCGACTTAGCCCATCTCCTTCCACGGATTCAGGACAGAGCTGAGGATGACTGGGCCACCAACACCTCTCCCGGCAGCCCGCAGGCAGCTGGAGTCAATCCATGTGCTCAGCCGCCTTTGCTACTCTGACAAGTCTTTCCATCACACAGGTAAACCTACTTAAACCCAAATATGCTTTGCCTCCAAACAAACTGCTGAAGCCCTAACACAGGAGGGTGCAGGGAAGGTGTCCCCCAGTGCCTGGATTGCTGATGCATTGGATCATCTCAGGAAGCAAGCGGATTATCCTCATTCCCCCCTTCCACTCTAGGGAAAGTCTGCCTGTAAAAACGSCTGAGTGCCTTTCAAAGGCAAAGTTTCCCAGTTTTTCAAAGCTTTCAAGTGCCTCAGTTACTGCATACAGAAGAAAGCAGCAGGGTAGCACCCTCACCAGCCCAGACCAGCAGCAGGACAGCACYGGTGAGAAGGTCCGCGCTGTTGTGGGTGCTTATGTTTCGTTTCCTTTTTTTTACTGTCTCATCAGTTTTCTTTGTTTCACACAACACTAGCAATGTTCAAAGAAGGAAGAAACACTGATCAAAGGGCAGATATTTCACATGGTAGAAAACAAGCATTTTCTCCCYGTGAATTTTTCAGGTGCTTAACAGACATGCTGCCAACATAATCTAACAGGCCATTTCTTTCAGTACAGAACATCATGAAGATTTCCACAGCATACCAGGAGCAAGCAGAAAAGCCAACAACTATCATATTACTTTCATGACAACATGCATGGAAACAGAACTAGTTCAAACAGATCCTGTGGGTGGATTTAAAGGAAGTCAGCATATACAGCTAAACACTGCAGAGCCTCCCAAGAGAAGTGAGCGTCATGCACCGTGCAGAGCAAAGGAACATTCTAGCTGTATGTCCCTAGAAGCAACACTRTGCGTGAACAGGGTGGCAAATGAGGCATTCAAATTAGAATTACCTTCTGTTGAGTTTGTACAGCAGACCCAGAAGAAAGCAACAAAACAAATTAAAAATCAGAAATAGACTCTTACTACAATTGCTAACAAAGAGAGCAACTTGAAAAGCCTATTTCCTTCACAAATGATTTTTTTTTCCTGTGGAAAAGCTGATTTCAGTAAAATTTTCCATGGGGGAAAATGTTTCTTAATGCTCAGACTGAGTAGACTCAACCTACTGAACCTGCCCAAGCTGTTGCTCTGCTTTTATGGGAGCTGAGTGTCTGTCCTCCCTTTYTCACAACACGAGACCCCGCAGCGCCCGGCCCCGTGGCTCGCACTGGGGCAGAGCTGCTCTGCAGCACAGCCTGGACCGTGCTGGGCCCCAGCAGACACCACAGGCTCTCACATACACACACACACATACACACACACACAGCTGTGGAAAGTTGGCTAAAGTTTTTTCTTAATGCTACATGTTTTGTCTATTTAACATCTTGTATCAGCTGAGAATACATACAGGAGAAAAAATATGTTGAATTTCCTGATAGAAGAGTAAATGCACTGCCCTGATAATTACATATACTCTTGTCCTTGACACCAGACCTCCTGGGACAGCAGAGCCAGCAAATTCCCAACAGCCATCATAAGGCAATGTTGAGTTAATTGCCTTTGCGTTTCAGAAGAGCACAACTAGCATTTCTGCCATAAAGCAGGCAATTGCCACTGAGCACCAGTTCTTTAATAGGCCTTCATGTAATATTTTTCAATTCAGGTGTATCAAGAAATAGTAGCTACTAGTTCACCACCCCTATGAATCTCCTTCCTCTCTCACTTTCTTCCCCAGAACAGAATTTATATTTTCTGTTCCACTGTCAGGCCAAAGAAGCTTCTACTTTCAGATCAAATCATCATCATCATTAAGCTTTCTCTTGCTCCTATTGTATATCAGGAGCTYGTTACACCTTAACAAAAAACACAGTCAAGTTTTATGGAAAGTTTTTTTTTWWAAAAAAAAAGGTAAATTTTGATCTACTGAAATTTGTGACTAAACATAGCCTCATCTCAGGAGGAAAATCAGGCTACAGAATTTTCTAAACTGGTAGCATAATCAAGTAAACATAAAATATGCTTATTTTTAGGTGATCTGACACTGAGACAAAATTTTCCTAGGTTTGTGAGGAATTTCTTAGAAAAAAAAATTACCCTGAACGGAGGACTTCTCTATAGGAAAAAGAAAAAAAATCCTTATACTAACCTTACTTGATTTTAGGACCTTAATTTGTTCTTCATAAACAGTGTCCTTATTCTTTTCCAAAAAGCCTTCACATTGATATTCCACCTGGAAATAATTATTTTACGAAAGTAAGTGTTAAAAGTAGTTAATGCGAATGTTTTGTAAAGAACTCAGCAGCTGCACCACTCACTTTTAAAACAGATAATWCTTGTGGATGTTGAAAATATCAGCCTTCAAATGCATCTACGTTAAATACAGAATTTGCTCAGAGAARGTGTATTTCGGGAAAGCGTAACAAAAGGCAGAAATGTACCATCCTGCTGCACTAGAACCTGCATTGCATTGCAGAGATGCTCGCGGTGACGCTCCCTTCACCGGTTACCATAGCGCGCTCTTGGGCATCTCCACATAGAAGTTACCAGGGCAGCAAAACCGCGCGAATCCCGAAAGCAGCTCAGAGGAGTTGCTCACCCCGTCAGCCGACACCCAGCATCGGCTGCTGCACAAGGAGAAGAGGGCAGGGGGGCTGCCCAGGGTCCGCGCAGCTCCKCTGCGGCCCCGGGCACCGGGGGAGGGAGGCCCAGGGCCGCCAGAGGGCAGCAGGACCCGGCGCTGCTCCGCACCACGACAAGACGGGCGCAGGGCCCACTAACCTGCCAGCTGCTGCTTCATTTCTTGCTGCTGCTTTTGCTTTTTTGCTTCCCASTGCCAGGTAAGCACAGGTTAAAGTGTGTACCGCTTAGCACAGATACTGCACAAGAGCTGAGAGCTCTGCCCATTCCTGCTCACAGCTGCTTTCAGCTTTTCTCGGACCACATTCCTCAGGCCAGTCATAGGAAAGCCCTATTTTCAAACACTGAAGTTCAGCCTATTTAACAATATATTAAATTATAATTAAGTCCTCCTTCTCCTCTCATCCAGCAAAGAAAATAGAACTCCCAAGTCTAATAAGCACATTTCTGTAACTGCCTACTTTCCTTAACAAGAGAAGCAGGATCTCCCTTCTAGCTGCAAATTCAAGGACTTGGAGGAAATAAAATGGAGGCAAATAACAGTTGCTGATTCTATAGATTTGAGCTATAGATAAAAATTCCAGGATATTTCTAAGCACTGTGAACAAACTTCTTGTGGCAAATCTGACAAAATTCGCAGACAGCTGCTTTGTTCAGTAAAATATACCTTAAATGGGATACATTTTGTTTAATTTTAGGCTGAAGAGTTGCTCAATCTGACTGTACACATGGTCACAGTCTAACAAAACATGTATTGCACTGAACTAATTGTCTTCCAGCTTACTAGAAATGACTGTTCACTGAGCAGCAGAGGCAAAGTGTGGAAAAAGTACATACTGCTCCTGTGATAAGAAGGGTGTGAGTCCCTTTCCTGTGTGCACATTAAGATGGCTACAATTAAAAGAAATTTTGGTTTTGCTCTTTAAGAAAATATAGTGAGATGCATGGTTTTCTATCAGGCATAGAAATTTGTATAATTATGTTGTAACTTGCAAGGACACTAAGCTGCTATGTTTTGAAGAAAGGATGGCGAGTGGGCAGAGCATGTGATAGGAGTCAGGAGCTCTTGTTTGGGTTCTGCTGCCAGGTCAGCTTCATTCTTCCGTTCCTGCGCAGCGACAGGCACAGCAATGAGCAGAGGTGGTAACACAGCTGCCCTGGAAGGGCACGTTGGTCTGCAGCCTGAGCCTGTGTCTTCTATCTAGTCTGCAGGCAGGTTTTACCAGGCAACAAGGCAGCCTCACAGCCCAGTCTACACATGTTCAAAGCGTTTCCAGGCTTTGTTTCATTCTGAGTCAGGAGGCAGGAGGCAGTCCAGATACCTGCCTGAAACAGCTGCTTGTTTCAACCTTCCCCCTTGATCCCTTCCCGGTCTTAGTAATCTGAACTTTGGGAAAGMAATACCAAAAAAATCCTTACCTTGTCAGCAAAGTGTTGGATGATAAAAGCCTTATTTGACAGACGTGGTTTTTCAAAGAGGGCACATTTATTCAAGTGAGTATTGTACAGTTTTTGGGCCCAAGTGTCATCTGAGCCTTTTGGCATCTATGTAAAAGAACACAGAACACAGAACATCATTTAAAATTCCTGAAAAATATTCAGTACTGAAAGAAATCAGGAAGACAATAGTTGTGTTTTGCTTTAAAACTCCAACCCTAGTGATTTCCAGCACCAAGTAACCAGTTATTCGCACACTTTAGGCCTGCTTACCCCACAACAACCAAACCCCACAACTGCTGCAGACCCCACAACACCCAGTGATGCCTCTTTCTCCATGACTCTCCATGCTGCTTGTGGAGGGAGTCCTTTAAATAAGTTACTGAAACACCAAAAGGAGGGAGAAGGAGAAGAAGAAAGAAGAAAGAAGGCAGAACACAGATATAAATATATATATATATATGTATATATATATATGTGTATATATATATATCTCACATATGATGCTAATAATGCTTTCTGTGTCAACACATGTAAAAACCCAGGAGGTCTATTGTCTGAAGTGGTGCAGTTATGACCCACAGCACTTTAGCARGTCAGAACCATCATTAGAAATTTTGTGATGCTGTCACACACACACACAGAAAAACAAGGTGAGGTGGTGAATTAGACACCCCACACCATGCCATGAAGAAACTATGACAATTACATGGCTTACATAAAGTAATTTAAGATAAAAAAAGTGAGAGGTGATCTTAGGAATAATTTGAGAGCCAAAGGTTCCATTTGCTGTGCTCAAGAAGGACAAAGTTGCCATAGTCAAAATAARTGTTGATCAGAGACCTAAGAGCTAGAGATACTAAGATGGAGAGGGGAAAAAAAAACCAAAACCAAAACCACACACACAGTGTCACAAGTAAGACTCTTGTAATTGCAACTCTAAGTTTCAAAAGTATTTCAACAGCAGAAGGTCAAAATAATGGTTATGTGCAGATGACTCTTCTGTTAGGCTCCAGAAAGAGGATGTCTCATGACTGCTCTCAGGTTACAAGTCCATGAACACACACCTTACACTCCTCATCTAGTAGATCCAGAATTCCCATTTTGGCCTCTATGAGGTTAATGCAAGGCTGATTGTCATAGAAATCAATCAAGGTCCAYGGTATTTGTTCCTTCATATATTCTTCCTGTTCCAACTTAAAGACATGCTACAGGACAAAAAAAGAAGACAGAGTTGTTTTTGTGAAATAATACTCAGAAAATGTAACCCTCTCTTGAATTCTTCTCAGCACATTAATCCAGGCTATCATGTGACACACAAGTTCAATGAATAAACCTTTCAACAACCAAGTGTATGACAGATCAATTAACATGTTTTAATGGCACAAAAACAACTGACTAAATCAGAGCATTCTTCTCTATTCTCTGAAAATAATGGTTATTTTTTCTGATCTGTTTAATATATTGCCCCATAATTACTACAAGCTGCTATTATTTAAAAACTATACCCTTGCAGTAAAGAAAACAGCAATTATGCTTTGAAAGTCTTCTGTCAAAAATGAATAGTAAGAAGAAATATTAAACAAGCAAATTATAGTCTTAACAGCATAAGCACTTTTTTTTTTTTAATAAAAGACTGCTGAGCCCAGTTATTTTAAACTATGCTTTTATTTCCATTTAAATTGTAATATATACTAGCTGTTATACCTTAACAAAGATGAACATYGTTACAGACATCACTTAGGGGATCAACACAAACACCTCTTCTTAGAACAGTGGTACTTAATTAGCCTTTTAATTCAATGTGGAAGTCTATAAACACTCTGTACCTGTAGCTCTCCAGCAAACATCAGTAAGATCACACAAAATTATGCTGACAAAGTGTTTATCCCCTTTGTTTCATTAGCTTAACACAATCCTTTCCAAAATAGCACTCCCTGAGAGAGCTCTTGGGACTCATCCCACACGCTAGTCACTTAACAGCTGCATTACATGCTGAGTTAATTCCTGACAGGAAAGTAAATGATAAAATTTTATGGACAAGTCATATCCAAGCTTTGTAAATCCTAAAAGAAAACATAAAACTATATCCTTACAGTAAAGAAAATAGCAATTATGCATTAAAAAAAAAATGTCTCCAGACATTTGGCTTGCATTTTTTTAATCTTTTTTTTCCCCTGCGCCAAAAGCCTCCACAGATAGAGAGACAAGGTCCCTCTAGATAAGAGAGAGAGAGAGAGAGGAAAAAGCGAGGGGTCAGGAACGCCGAATGCGGTTCTCCAGGAGCCCAGCTGGTCCAAGMAGGGCTAGTGAGAGCCCTCTCCTGAAGAGCCTTCAACCGCCAGCCTCCCTGCTGGTAGCAGAGATCAGTCAGACAGGAACATGTCGACAAGTGCAGTGCTTTGGTAGCTTACTAGGAAATCACAGTATCTACAAAACACAAGCCCCTTTGCCCTCYGCTTTGTGAAATGAGGGCTGAGAGCAACGACATGAGACAGGGGAGAACACGGGCAGAAGGATCGTTACTCAAGGGTTCACCCTTACAACGCTCACAGTTAGAGAGTTTTTGTTACAGAACTGAGAAATCTCAGAAAATCCTGGTAATTACCAGTTATGAAATCTAGCATGGAGAGCTGAAACCATCTGTAGGACTATAAATATAGAAGGCACTTTCTGGAGCTGGAAAGCTCAGCTTCAGTTCTGACAAAGCTTCCATCAGGTATCTCTGCTGCTGGGATTAACAGCTGTTTGGGATGATCCAATTCTGCACATATGCACCACCACTGAGGTGCATTTGTAAATATAGTTCAAAGCTATTTCAGTTCTGCAGTGGAGCCTAGCAACGGAGCTGGCATAAATAACTCGGATCTTCATTCTGCAGGTAAGATATGTMATTACAAACATCACTAAGCCTGGGGAGAGACAGAAAAGGAACTGTGATCTCTCTGAATGAGGAAGATGTCTCTTAACTGCATGACAGTAATCAACTTTAAGAGGTGGCTGTAAAGCCTCACAAAATAAAGCTGGTTGCACCAGCAGAGGGAAATGGAAGTGGCAGATTCCCAGCWGGGTATTTCTGCTCACTGCGGTCACTGAAGAGGTTCTCACTGGAGGTTATAAAGACACAACTAACTCCACATTCATCCACATAGTACTCTCATTGACAGGCAATCTCAGGGTCTTAATTGCAAAGCACTGCTTCTGTCTTATAATTGCTACTGTGATCAGAATTTCAAATAGACCCAGAGTAGCAGTTAGTCATACAATCTATTTCTAGGAGATAGTCAATCTTTCCCCACTCTCCCAAAGTCCATGGCCAGGACAGCTGCTTAATAGACTGAAGGAATTCATCTTAGCCACTGGGGACTCAATTAGCAGAATGGACCGTGGTGAGAGGAGAGGGGAAAGGAAATGCCAGTAATTTCCTACTTACCATATTGAACTGTTGCTGCAGTTTTTCATTGGCATAGTTGATACAGAACTGCTCAAAGCTGTTGATCTCAAATGTTTCAAATCTAAAAAATACAAATATTCAAAATTACTAGTGCTGTGAAAAAAAAAGACCCTATAATTTTAAAGTTCTTCTCTCCAAATTTATAAGTTATTCCAGGTATACTAAGCAATGAAACAGGCAAATAGGAAAATGTAGTACAAGAGGCAATTCAGAGCTGCTCGCTCTTCTGTCTGCTGGAGGAGAGGAGGAACACAGAGGGATGGGTGCTGCTGGAGGCACATTAATTACTTCTGCCCTCTCTGAAACTGCATCCCTGGGGGAACCCTGAGATTACAATTCTATTGTAATTCCCCCAGTGCAATATATAGAGCAAAAAAAAATCCAACTGTAAATGTCAACCTGAAACCCAAGACAGAGATCTTGGATTGATGTCAAAATAAACACCTACTTCTTTAAACTGGGATAAGTAGCTGCTAACATTTTTGGTTTAATCCACACAACACTGCATGATAAAGACACTCTGCAGTGAGATAATTATACTGTGGCATAAAGACTCACCCATAAATGTCCAACACTCCAATGAACGAATGCTGTTTTACAGCAGAATGAAGGGCTTTGTTCACATGATCTACAATCCAGTTAAAAAGATTGGCGTAGATGTGTTTGGCAAGGGCATCCCTGGCATTGATGGCGTGCAGCTTAGAAATGGGCTTGATGTAGGTTTCAGTGGCGGTGGCGAGCTTCCGATGGCAAAGCCAGTGGGCCATCTCTTCGTACTCCACACCCATGAGGTCACAGAAGATGGTGAGGGGTTCGTGTTTGGGCTAATAAAAACAAATTTGTTAGTTCCTGAAACAGCGCTACCAACAGCGCACGTGCAATCACGCAGTCAGAAGAACTGCCTGCCAGAAGTGATCTAATGGTAAGCAGCACCTGCATACTTTATCAGCTCTTCTTCCCTCAAAATGTAGCAAGTTCCTTATCCACTTCTCATATTTATATCACTTGGGTAAATTACTGGATCACAGTTTCCCCAAAGGCATTTTACTATATTTGTGTTCACCCAAAAGCCCCACACAGGGTATCCACAAGCTTCACARAAATGAATCATCTAATCTTGCAAGGACAGGCTTTGTATTTTGAATTCTGATAACCACTTGCTTAAGTTTTGAATAAAGAGAATGGAGATGACAAGGGCAAGACAGCAGTTGTGTGCTGAGGACAGCATGGAATTAAAAGCCCGAGTTGCCCTCTCTACTCATATACATCCATGGCTGGGATCTACACATAATGGCCCATCACCAAGTTTAGAACAAAGAGGTATGGAAGGGCTTTGGCATTCTGGCCTCAGAAATTAATATATTGACAGATGAGGCAGCTGCATCAGCTGCGGCCTGAAGGAAAACTTGTTGTTTCAGCTCCACAAACCGTTCTGCAGATGCTTGAGAAACCAACCTTGAAATGCTGTTAAGGTGTGACAAGAGAGAGAAAGATGAAGGCGGAATGGTCCATTCAGTAACATTCAGGGAAAGGCAAAATGAGAAACCGGTCACTTGGAAGTCCAAGAGAAGAGTAACAAGAAGAAAACAAGCCAGATCCCTTTTTCCCTCTSATCTCCAGAATACGAGCTCCAGTAAAAATCTTCGGTCCTCACTGACTGTTTTTCAGGGATTTCCCACTGCTGACCTCCGGAGAGGTAAGAAAGGTCTGATAAAACCATGACACACTTAAGAGTTACATGAATCATTGTTTTTCGGTGTATCCTATATTCTCCTCTAGACACCTTGGAGAGCTTTGAGAAATGTCTAATTTGCAGTTATTTGTGTCAGTATGGCACTTAACATAAAACAGCTTAGCCTGCAAACTATTTACTGCAGGCAAGGAAACTATGTATGCAGGAATATAAATATCTATACATCTGTCCAGGACTTCAAAGCTAACCTGCCCAGGAGAATCTTCTAGGGCAGAGCAATTACCATTGGATAGAAATTAAGAGTCACAGTTACAATATGCAGAGTCTGTGAAAAGGATCTAAACCGGAAGAAGTTGAATCCATGTGCAAAGAGAACAGTGCACGTGTTATCAAATTAGGAGTCACATTGCTTGTGTCTTCACATTGTTACTCTTTCTTTTGCCAGAGGTCCCTGCTCCTGCAGCTGAACCGAAAACAGAACTGTGATAGTAGAAACCAGACCCTTGAGCTCATTTACTACTCACAGGAATAGTGCAGCTGTCAGCATCCCGAGAAGCAAACTCCACGTTTCCCAGGTGAAGGATACCAGCAAGGATTCGAAAAATTCCCATCTGGTAGGAATCACTGATCCCTGAAAGAGGATGAATAAAATGTTTGGAATCTTCACTCAGAGAAGTAAAGAACCAAGAGCTGCAGCTGATGAAAAATGTTATTAGAAAGAGAGAGAAAAATCACACAATGGTTGAGGTTGGAAGGGACCTCTAGAGATCACCTAGTCCAATCCCCTGCTCCAACAGGGACACCTGGAGCACAGGATGGCATCCAGKAGGGTTTTCAAGATCTCCAAATCCAAAATCACCATCACAAAACTAAATCATCAGTCAATAGAGTAATTTTACTTGAAAGAAAAAACACAGGAAAGGGAGAAATGAACACAGAGTAATGAGACACACAAGGAATTCCAATAGGAATTGTACTGGACTCGTTTTGGGGAGGTGGGGCGTGCACCTTGAGGTGCAGTGCTGAATTGCCACCCTTCAGCTGAGAAYAGAATGGGGATCAAAAAGCACAAGGAGCCACGACGATGGATGTGTCCTTCCGGAGAAGCAATTATCTTGTTAAGAGCAGCTGGATGCACTGCGCATGGCCTGACATTACATAACCTGCCAGACACCTTAGTTACATTACCATTCCCACAGCAAAGCCTGGCACGTCAGATTGAAGCAGCTGCCCCACTGAATTCTCTGTCAATGCTCCTGCAGTTGTACAGCCCTTCACAGGCTGCTCTGGAAGAGCCTCCATACTCTCCACGGCTGATGCGACACACGCCCCCGATCAGGACGGTCAGCGCCAGCACGGGGGCGACGCAGAGAGCCCCGACGTTCGTGGCAAGGGAGTGCACGGGGCATTGTCATTCACTAGACTGTCTGCCACACGTCCAGACTTCCACTGCAYGTGTATTGTGCAGTCTGCAAAAAAACTGTTACCAGCATGTGTTTCTGCAAAGAAACCGGTATTTCAAAGTGCTTCTTAACTTTTTACAGCCAGATGTAAAAAGATCCATTAAAAAAATGAACTATTTAATTCGCTGTTTCAAAGTGCTTTCTCAGTGACCTTCACCACTGTATCAACTGCACAAAAGGGAACCCAGCACTTATTTATGCTCATATAATGCATCCTACTCCTGCTCCAGATATGTGATTCCACTGCAATTCAAAAACCTTTTAAAGGCAATAAATAAATGTATCTTGGTCCTAAAGTTATTCAAATTCTCCTGTTTCTTTAGCAAAGCAGAATATGAAGAAAACCAACATAACCAAGCTGAAAGCACTTGTTAGGACATCAAATTTGGGATATGATGATGTTTAACAGGTTACCTAGCAAAGTGCAGGCCTGCCTGGTGTTTACCATTTCCTTAGCATCATCAACACCATCAATCACGGGGCTTCCACCTTGCTTCGTATAGTGAAAATAATTTGCATTCCCTGAAATACAAAAAAAACCCCTCTTACACACACAATGTACACACACACAAACACACTCTACACACACAAATGTAGAAATTTACCTCATTGTAAGCATGTCTGTGTAAAGCTTTATAATGACTAAGTGGCAGAATCCATAACTTCAAATATCTCAGTGTATTTTTATCTCTGACTCACAGGATCCTACCTATTCTGAAGATTTTTTTTCTAGATGTAGCGAATTGCTCCTAAATCTGTTYCTTGTGATAGACCCTTAAGCACGTTCTCCACCCAACCACATTTCACACTTCCACACTTATGGAATAATCACATGGAAACAATTATTCTCCAAGCCAAGGAGTAAATGCAGAGATGAGTTTAACAGTCCTTTGCGAGGATATGGAAGACATTATTATCGATTACACATTACTGCATTAAAATTTGGGGGCGTTTAATATCTATTTTGCACCTGATTTCTTTTTGCCTCTAATTTATGAACCTAACGGTTTAGCTGGATGATTATCAATTCCATCTGGGAAGACCTGACTRGAGAACTGGTATCTTCACACCAATCTGGGGATAGAACTGGGCTTCACTGTGAGAGCTTTAATTCCTCTGGGCATTGGGTGAAGGGAGCATTTCCTACGGCTATGGTTGTCATTCGGCTGCATTAACCACCTCTTTTTCTGCTGATCTACTAGGGTTTCAGGAAAGCTAAAAGAGGAGCCTGCCACACGACTTCCTGAGTTACAACTACACCAGTTCCTTTCTTTCCTGTGTCAGCAGACGTGAATCCTAAATGTGCCTAGATGGTATAAAAGAGTAGGGAAACATGTAAAAAACAGAACAAGTATTTCAGAAACCAGCATTGATATATAGTTGGAAATTATCTTTTAAAAGCATAAGGAAAAGCACTGAATTTTGTATGAAATTGAATTGAAACTGATACGAACACTGCCTGTCCCAAAGTCACCAAAATGCCTTTGCTTTAGAGTGCCAGTTCCTCTTAAATGGGAAATACTTACCAAAATATTAGCTTTTTTTTTGTTTAAAAATGAAAAATTTCACTCATCCAACTTGTGATTACCAGGCCACCCCAGATGGTAAAATAATTATCGGCAGCTGCACAAATAAAAGTGTGCAAGTGCAAAATACTCTATAAACTTTTCAGTTGCTCATACCAGAAATGTTAAATTTTTCTGAGAGTTGCAGCCACAGGAAAAAAAAGTTTTAGAGGACCAAGAGAACAGAATTCTACCCTCRTCACAGGAAAATGACACCAAAATCCAGTACACAGTTAATCCTAAGGATTACAATTACAGTGTAATGTTGACATATCAAATCTATTACCTTTGGTTTATTTACAAACTAGAATGTCTGAAATCTGCTGTTTTCGTTATTTTCAATATATTTTAGTGTATGAAGGTTAAAAAGTTTATAATTTAAAAGCCAGCAATTCTTCTTTTAGCTCTATGGCTYAGAAAGCTTGGAGATAATACTTYGTACATACCGATTACACAATACAGTGAATGTGAATTTTATACCTAATCGTAGAGTTTTAAATTCAGGTAATGCTGCAGAGGCACAGAGCTGGTAGAAGATGTGGTAATTTCTCTCCTCTTCTGCCTTTAAAAAGAAAGGAATTGATTATATTTTACAATGTAAGATGTACCGGAAACATCCACTTCCTTCTTGATCAATTTAATACATTTTCAAAAGCAAGAGGCATGCAGCCTTTTTAATTAAAAAAAAGGACAATTTCCCGTTTCAGAAATGTGACTACTATTAAATATAGATCTGGAATCTATAGCTGGATGAAATGATCATACTCAGAAGCTTTTCAGTTTCCAAAAATAACTAATCATTTGCGTGAGCATTTCTAGTGAGCTAGAGAAGGGAGTATCTTTTCTGCCAAGACAAAACTGGCATTTTAAAATGGAGGACAGGCATAACACAAAAGGATGAACTTCATAATTAACACCRTAATTCTGAATTTAACCACTCTAAAGTGTCATAAAGCATAAGTGTCATAAAAACAAACAAGACTCAGTTAAACTATACACCAAAAATCTCTGTATCAGCCCTATACAGTGTCCTCATTGTTATAGCTGCTGGCACTCCTATCTACAGTTAAGAACATTTTTACTAAGCTCTAGACCACAGGGCACTCAAATACGGTGATGAAGCACAGGAGGCAAAAAGGTTGCTGATTAAGCAAGTTCAAAGAAATTACATTCTCTTATTTACGTAAATAATGGCTGTTAAGAGTGATTTGTAATTATTGTGATAGTGGCAGGTTTTAACAGGAGGTTTAAAGGACGCTAAGACATTAGCTTTACAAACCACAACAGAGAGCTCCTTCCTGCTGCGTTTGAGGCCCTATTCTATAGCACTATGGTATGCACAAACTCTTATCAGTATTGCACCAAATTATTTCATGTTTAAATATGCAGCCTTTTTATAGAGATTTTTACAATCATGAATAATTCTGACTTGTTTTTCCTTCTTCCCCCCACTCCCTACATGAACCACACCACACATAAGACATTATCACAATCCCAGGAGAGATAKTTAATACCACCAGGCAGCAAGTCTTTCAGCACAGTCACACAAACACACAGTAGGGAAGATTGTGCCAGTATTACCTGAAACACCACTCTTGATTTTTCCAGGAGGTAAGTTCTCATGTTAGCACCAATAATTCGGTATCTCTTATCAAAACCAATTTCAATGTATTTCCCAAAGCGACTACTGTTGTCATTCCTTGTGGTTTTGGCATTTCCAATAGACTGAGAAAAAAGAATTACAAAGTGGTTAAATAACTTTCAGAAATGGCAATGCTTGCTTATTCATTTGCATGGCTTACAAGCATTAAGCAATATTAATTTTGTCCTGGTTTCAAAACAGTCAGGCATACAGTCCTGAGATGCCAAGGGCAAAGGAGGGCTGCTGCTTGAGGATGACCTCAACTCCCTGCAACTTAAAGCCCTTCACTGCTTTTAGGAGTCCCACCATTCAGTTTTCTTGTTYGGGCATCCATCCCAATCCATCCATTCTGAAATGAAGTTTGGGAAAAACAAGYGAAGCCAAATATCAATGCTGAAACATCAGTATTTCGGATGCACAAACAAAAGACCAGGGAACYTGGGGAGCACGTAGCAAGCTGGAATTAGGTTTTCTGAGCACTGCATCACAGTCATAGCCCATAAGCCTGGCCAAGCAGATGTCCAAGTGGTTAACAGGCGAGCTGTAAAATTTRTAAGCACAAATTGCATCTTCGCAGTTCTAGGAATATGGAATTCTTTCATAGTGAACATATTCAATCTGCATTCAGATGGTTTAAAGCTATTGCTACTGTGATGCATTTTGCTGCAGGTAGCAACGTAATATTATAATATTGTGAGAAATGCATTATTACTTCAGAAAGGCCTATTCCAAAGCAGTAAGCTTGCACGTATAAAAAMCAGAATGGTTTAAGGTAGCATATGGATTGCTTACCAGAGTAAATATAATAAGCTTTACAATTTGTATAGCTATACAATGTGATAAAAAATAAATGAGGCAATATATAAATACATGCTTTAGGACTTKGACTGTTTCTGTATTTGTAGAAGGAAAACTGGACTCTATTGCATACAGATGCTAAACATCGAGCAACACATTAATTGTCCTGAGCATTTTCTTTAGGGTAAGCACTATGTGCACCTCTACAGAACCRAGCTATTTCTCACAAGGACTTCCCCCACGACTGCTTCTCTGTGGCAAATCACTTTTCAATACAGTTCCTCAACGTCAGCTCCAACTTCCATCTGCATAGGTAGGCAGGAACACGAAACCCAGCTAACAAGCAATTCAGACAAGCTGGAGAGTGTTCCGGGCTTGGCCACGAGAGCTGAATTAAAATGTCTCCACAGCTTCCCGAAGGAAAAAGGATCCTGAAGCAACAGGGAACAGCAGGTGCTTATCTTAGAGTCTACTGCCAGCATTTCKGCTCCCAAGTCGGTGGCTCCTGGCCTTGGTTACAGTGAGGTTCAAAGCTCCCTCTGGGGCTGTAACACTACATTCTAAATAATTATTGCAAAGTTACGTCTTCCGTCTTTTTTTTTCCTCTGAAACAAGTCATGTGTAGCTCTGCTTCCCCAATCYATCTTCCCCAATCACATTTCCTAAAACTGAACAGCTGCTTTACTCAACATCCCTCTTCCCCTCAAAATAAAGTCTACCCACCCTGCGTTGCGCAAGGCGGTTCCAGGCAATACAGAATCCTGCTGTAATTCTGTTTCCAATGTTACACACACATCTTTCTGCACATTCACTCTCTCAGCAGTTTTGAAACTACCAGAGTTACAAAGCTGAATAGATTTAAAGGAATATTCATATAAGAACTACTTTATTATGTGAAATACATTAACAGCACTGAAAACATTACCTCTTGCTCTCTACCTCTCCTCTCTAACTTCCATCAAATTCTACACAATGCAACATGTAAGGGACTTCTTGGATAGTCGACAAAAATGATCAAGTTTTAAAAATATTAAGTCTAGAGCCTTTGATACTTAAAATTTAAGAATTATTCTCTTTATTGAATGCTTGTCCTAGCCCCAGRATAATAACTGCAAATTCATTTTGCTTAACGAGTTAACGCATTCGCTCTCTTACCTCCATGATGGGGTTGGAAGCCAAGACTTTCTCCTCGACATTGGCTTCRCTGGCAGATCCGCTCACCGTGGCGAAGTACCTCATGGCATACTTGGCAGAGACCGTCTTTCCTGCCCCGGATTCGCCGCTTACGATGATCGACTGGTTCCGCTCATCTCTGAAACACGGAGACCTGTTAGCAACCAGCTGCTCTCTCGAGAAGACCTATCCCTTGTGTCCCCAACTTGGCCATAACCCCTCTATCATAAACATTAGCCATACAGATAACAACTGCACACAGCAGAGATCAGGCTGTTAGTGATCAAGCTTCCTGAATGGCTAATTGGACTGCCTGTGACCATGGCAGAATTGATCTGCCATCACAGTCCAACTAGTCATTACTTTCAGTCTAAAGAACCTGCCGACATTAAATTAAATTACCTGTTACCACTATAACACTACATACTTCTGTAGCTACTTCTACCCAGCATCTTTGGTACAGTGCTCCACTAAATTATCAATGCTCATTAGTAAAGATCATTAATGTCATCTTACAGATAGGGAAATCAACAGCAGAGTCAGCAACAGAAAACTTGCATCCTTCTGATCTAATCAGCAGCTTTTCCCAGAATTGCTCTTAATCTGAAAAATTCAAGCAGTACCATTCAGAGAGGATCCTTTTGTTGTAAAGGAACTTATTCGCCCTTAAAAAGGAAAATCTCCATTTGAGATTACAACAATTTCCTCCCAAAGTGTGTCCTATCCATAATCCTCAAACATACAAGTAAACAGACTACAAAATAAGAACAATGGAAAGCAGCATTTATATATCCCCTTTTGAGGTTAAAAAAAATGCACAATTATTTTAAGTATTTTATAGTTTCAAAGCAACTAAAAAGTTAAAACGAATGGTATTTCAAAATACTCCTATGTGTTGGGCGAGTTTAACTTTACCTTAAACACTGAAAAAAGGAAAAATAAAAGTTTTCCCTGAAGATGTACAGAGCTGGGACTAAAACATTAAAGGTGCGCCATGTCCCAGACCTATTATTATGAATGAAAGCCGAGGGATGTCCACGGTGTTCAGGCAACACATGCACAGTCTGCAGAGCCTCCAAATGTCTGTTGAGCCACCAGTAAACGCTGTGCAGCTGGGGCCRAATGGAGCGAGAGGCATTAAAGGCTTTGGGGGATTTCTACAGCCTGTAGGACCTCTGGGAGATCCGGCATTCTATCCCTGAAACTTTCAAAAAAGGATGAGGATGAAATTATGAAGCTAAATGGCAGAGCTCGYTGTTCTTCTCAAAATGGAGCCTTATCTTCTAAAGCTTCCCCAAGCCCCAAGAAAAGCACCTAATTTCAGCATCTGTTCTATACTGCACAAAGATGTAGGCTGAAAGCCAAAGGGGCCACTGGTTRTATCACTTATCTCTGAAGTGAAGCCAAATGAAGTCATTGATTAAAGCAGGTTTTCTACTTTTTGGCAACAGAAAATTAATCTGAACGGCTGGGTGCTGCCTTAAATTTAGTAGGCAAGTGTTCCGAAGATCCAAGCAACCTAATTTTGTGTTCTCAGCTTCCAGGTCACACATATGGGTAGGTGTGAATGACTACAGCACAGCTCACACATTCACATGCGTCAAGCTGTCAGTCTCAGGAGGAAGAAAGCTGCAGGAAAGCAAAACTACTCCGCTTGATAGCAGGTAACATACAGTCTACTTGCACTGCCAGAGATCCTGGTTCCCAGGAAAAGGAATTTCCGACCTCTTAGGACACCTCCTTTATAAATGCAATCAAGCCTCTATCACATCCTGCCGAGTGAGGGTCCTGCTACACACAACAGCCTGCAGGAAAGAGGAACGTGCAGTTGGAGTGTAACCCTCTTCCTCTTCCTCATCCACTCCTCGTTGATCTGCAGCAGATTCACACGCACGAGGGAAAACCTGTAGCTCCACATTGCAGGAGGCAGCAGGAGTTATAGTGAGGCTCAGGTTTGAAAAGAGAAGGGGAATGACCTGAAAGAAGCCCGGGCCAAAGCATGGGGTTTAGGCTTAAATGAGACAACTGACAATGAACTGTTTTCCTCTCGCACAGGCAGTCCCTGCAATGAGTCACAAGCAGAGGACTGTTTCTTCACAGGATGGGCAGCTGTTATTCCTCTGTTGCTCTTTTATATAGGGAAAAAAAAAAAAAAAAAAAAAAGAGAGAAAGAGCATTATAAAATATTAAACTTAGGCAGATCTTTCAATCAGGCCATAACAGAGAAGACTGGCAATGACGTGACCAGCTTTTCGTTTCTGGATCACCACCTTTGTTGTATGTATCAAATATTATTAAATATTTGAAGAATCATGAAGCTCAAGCCCTATGAAATATATCCTCTGGTGATTAATCTTATTTTTAGACTAGTCCTGAAGTACAGAGGGCTTTCATACAGCAAAGTAATAAAGCCTCAATGCCCTAGACTTAAAATGTGCCAGCAGACCACTAAGTGCYGCCAAGACAAGCACATCAAATGAGCGCCTTGGTCTTATCATCGCATCCCTAAAGCACTGTCTCCAAAAGATGACAGAGTATCACGAGTTCCGCCTACTCCTCCAGCTACAAAGCGTGAAGGAGCACATACAGACAAGGAGAACAGGATTTAATGTACAGTGTTTATTATTACTATTCCAGAGAATCTTCCAAAATTATTGGGTGATTTTTATTGGGTTTTCTGAAGCAATTTTGAAATAGGTTCTTCATGTTTCTGTTTTTAGCAGAAAACTGGTTAAATCCCAATAATTATTCAAACAAGTCTCAGTAATCCTCCCACCCTCCTGTTTCTGAAGAGGCAGAATGATCCATTATTATCTTCTATGCAAAAAAAAAAAGCTTAATTTGAGAAAAACAATCCACACACACACACCTGTCTTGCTGCCCATCCAGGCTTACTCACACCAAATTGTCAGTCACTGCCCATCTCTCCCTTTACTCCAACGGAGGAACCTGGTAACAGRACAGACTAACAAAATCTGCCTCAAAATTTCCTTGAGACCCTTACCATTTCAATCCAGGAAGGCCCTGGTAATAGCAATACTAAATAATGTGCGTGATTCTTCCCTCCTTGCACAATGACATTGCACTTTTTAAAAAAGATGAGAAAATTAACAGAAACCAAATGGTATTAGCTGAAACCRAGTCAGATGCAAGATCACCCGGCACATGTGCGTGAACATGTGAACCACACGTTATTTTTGTCTGCCATGTGGGCAGCCACCTTCTCAGGAATTTAGAAACAGCAAGAAACTGCGAGTGTCTGCAGAGTGCTACAGAAAAGGGGGCTCCATACTCCTGACGACAGTAACGAAAAAAATAAGAATCACATAATTTCTCTTAAGAAAACTGTTGCAAGTTACACTTGGAATTTGGTCCTTTTCCCTCTCTGTTGTCATAAGATAGGAAGRTTTACTCTTCTCCTTTCCACTTGTTCATTATTGGTAACAAGGGATCTATTATCAGATTTCTGTATATCTACATATACTTTTTATAAAGCAGCCTAGAGGAGACTCGGCTGGCACAAAGAGACTCTGTGTGGGCTGAAAAAGTTGCAGCCATCTCTTGTGCAATGAATATCTGTGCTTGCACAAGCTGCACAGCCAGGCGACACAAAGGCCTCTCTCACTGTCCCCTCCTGCAGCGTCCCCCAGAGCTCAATTCACACTCAGAATGACTCTTGTCTGTAGAAGCACGAGTCCATTGTTTCCATTTAACACACTGGAGTGCCATTCTCCAGCACATTATTCTTTCTGTCTCCTTGGCAGAGGGCTAGCAGAACACAGCATGATGTCCAAGATCCTGCTTGATGTTTGGAGAAGGGGAGCGGATGGTGCAACACAACATCCAGGACACAAAAGCAGCAGAGCAGGAGCCATTAGAGCCACAGTGCTGGAAAAGACCTGGCATGATGATCAACGGGCACTGAGATACTGCAACAGGCAGCGGGATGCTGACACACAAGGAGGCAGGTGAGGCTGCCTTTCCAGGCCACCGTGACAGAACTGCAGAGACCCTTTCCTATCATTAAACCTCAAGGAAATTGAGATTAATTTGGAAAGAAAATGCCCTATTAATTTGGAAAGAAAATAACTACTAAAATAAAACTAAAATACACTAAATGCTATCCAAAATGTGGTGAGAACATATTTTAAAAGGTTTGTTATTAACAACAATCAGTCTAAAATATAATCACTGTTTATGCAATACATATTAAGGACCCACTGCTGTTGTGCTTTATTCCCTCCTATGGCTGATACTCTGGATATATTGCTTCACAGCTCTGGAGAAAGCAATACCAAACAGATGCATCTAAGTGCATACACACAGACACGTATACATAATGGCCTGGGAAAGCAAAGAGAAAGAATATAGCTGTATTGCCACCAACATCCCCGTGCACAGCAAGCCACGCTTACAAAGCTACCAGCATCCCTACCTGGCAGRGGTATCTCACAAAAAGATGAACTAAAAACATTTTGTTATGGACTTTTTAACCTTTGCCTGTGATGAACTACTTGAGGTTTAGCCGCCTCAGTGTCATACAAGGTGGATGAGACTGACATATGGGCTCAAAGGGAAACCTCCTTGGTACAAAACAGAGACTAAACAACAGGGTGATGTTGATGAGTAGAGCAGCAGACTTGACTTTGCCTTTGATGCTGAATACTCTCCGTTTGCCAACCTCAGGGACATGCAGGGGTGCTCCTCTTTTCCAGGAGGCCTCTCAGTAGTGGGGTTGGAAGAACCCTGCCTTCAGGGCTTACCCTGCCCTGTTACTCCAGGGCTGAAAGGTTTAATTAAATCTACTGCTATTTTTTATGGAGTTTGCAACTGGTTTCTTGTTTTCATTCAGAATAACATCTTTAGGTTACGGCTAAGGGCACCATCCCCATGGCTTATGACAGTTTCAATTTTCCCTAAACAAAACAGCATACGTGGCTGCTAAAGGCCTGAACCTTCAGCCCAGACCTCACACTGCTTCAGTACAGGGCCAGGATCATAATAGACAGCTTTTACTTAATCTAGCAATGACAGCCTGGCCTACATTATCCCACTGCAGTTCCTCTACTGCAGCTCTGTGACTGAGGAGCTTTTAATTGCTTTGCATTTTCAAAACAGTGAATTTYGAATGATCAAAGA